TTTTTCAGGTCGTCCCATCCAACCCCGAAAGAAAAGGTAGGCCTCGCTCACCTTGGGCACACCGCTATAAACCCGGCTGACGCCGACAGACCAAACCATTCGACCTCTGTGCCATTGGTTGGGCATGAGCATCCCGCACGAGTAGCTCAAGAGGTCGACCTCCTTGCCATCGGGCCCAACACGGCCGTACTGTCAGAGAGATATCATTGACCCGTATCCTGTGGCTAGTCAGGATGCCCAGACGCTCCAGCCAAAAGCCAACAGCCAAAGGGCTTCTAACCAGCCGCGAGCATCACTTGCCAGAAGTCTCATCGGTCATGCACGCAATAATTCACATAACCGGGCAATTTCGTGGTATACTTGCAGTCTTTCCTGTCTGATACGAGAAACTGCTCATAGGCCAGCGGCCACGGACCGAGCATCGTTGTCAGATGTCTCGTTGTCGGAGTCGGACTACGGTTTTCCTGTAGGCGTTGGGGAGCTCTATGGTAGCGGGGTGCATGGGAGGTAGTCATCCATCAAAGCCCCTTCCGTATAGGCCATACCATCATCCTCCAAATTCGGAATCAGGATGCGCTTATCGGGTAAGAGGCACGTCCCCCAGGAACGCGGGCTTTCGTTAAGCCATTCTACTGCAGCCGTTGTGTCGGAAATAAGCATTTAGCTTGGGCTGTTGCTACTGCTACCATGGAGGTGTGATGGGCTACTGCGCCCCTAGGTTACTATTTGTGATATGAGATGGTCCATTATTGTTGTTAGCAGGCTTGCTCGCCCTTGTTGTGCTTGTCTAGCCTGGTTACCAGACAGGTGCGCGTGCTGGCCATGTCTGTCTAGTTCCTCTTGTGTTTGGAAGGCAACAGCGCAGCCTGGGAATTGGCAGCGGAATTCACGGGTCACGCCTCCCCCATGGATTCTCTACGCGGTATTTGCTCCAAAGGCCCATGGGTGTTGTGCTGTATCTAGATTAAGATATGCAAATTCTTCTATACTCTGTCCAGTTGGCTGTCTGAGATAGCTGAATGGCCGTCGTGTACTTTCCTAACCTACTCACAGCTTCCAATCAAATATGGCAGCCCAGGCGAGGCGAGAGGGGACGAGGATCGTGATGGAGCGAGTGGCTAGCTAAATTGACCCGATGTCCCGCAGGAGCTCAATGGCCCACCCACAAGGATTTTCACCCGAGTTGAGACGGTCTCCATCCGATTCGAGAGAGTCTTCGGGCAAGTGTAGGTAAAAGTCGACCGTTCCTTGCTGTGCGCTTGTATCGGAGTTTGGAGGGGGTACAATCAACTCGGGGGATACCAGGACCATTGGCCACACCAGGCTCAGGCATCTATACACCTCTTTCTGGTATCGATCTTCGAGTGGAGGCGGGTGCTCGATGCCACGTCTGCTTCCCTTCTCTCGTTGAACGTTGGAGAAGCCTCCCATATTTGCCGTGGTGGAAAGCATTTCAGAACAGCTATGAGTATCTCGATTGGCGACTTCAGGATCCAATTCAGCATCGCAGGGCAGATATCACGCCCTTCACCCAGGCTCTTCGCTCCATTGACATTCCGTGCTCCCCAAGAACGATCGCCCTGGGGTTTTGCCAGGACCAGGCGTGAGAGTGAGGGCCGCAATTAGGCAGAGCGGCAACGCCGGCCATGTCCTCTTAACAAAGGACACGCACGCCCAATGGGCCATCTTTGCGTTTCTACCGCGGGTCAAGCATGTGAACTTTCTCGGGTCTTGAGAACTTCCAGGACCGCACATAAAGCCCTAACTAACCGCGCAGCACCTGCATGAGCTCCTAATCCTCGAAGATGCAGCTGCGTTCCGAATCATCGGCGCACGAGTGTTTCACTGCTTTTCAGTGAGAGCACGACGCAGTGTCTCTGTCAAGGAGACTGCAGTGTCTACCGCCCCAAAGGCAGCGGTGACAGGGCAGTTCGCAGTTGTGGTCAGGCGGCGGCCGCGGGGTCGTTTGCCCAAAGGCAAAGGCAGGACGAGCAGAGAAAGACATCTGGCCACGACCAGAAAGCGCACAAGCAGGTAGCAGAGCCGGCGTGCTGTTTACTGACCAGCAATTTACCATCCGCGCGTGTGGGATGACAGGGCCAAGTCTCCATCTTCCACCCAATCGGACTCTTTCCATGGTGCATTGTAGAAACCATAGGAAGAGCATTCGCGGGAACGCGAATCTGGCCCTCCTCCAGTTGGCATGCATGGTGAGCGGGACTGGTCAAGGGCCTCTTGCTATCTACAAGTGTTTCGGTTCTGTTTATAACCTTTTCTGAGATTCCATGTTGCGTAGGGAGATATAGCTTCCATGGGAACCAAGACGCATTCCTGGCCTGCGTGGTGACTGGAGTTCAAGCGCATGGCATTTTCCGCTGGCCGGACACCATTGTATATGCACTCTATGATGCTTGAAAGGCCAGGAAACCAACTTGGCAGTCGGAGCATGCATCGAAGAAGCGTGGTCCCTGAACCCACATCAGCCATGATTTCAAGTAGTAGTATGATAGATAGGCCGGGGCCCGCGACACGATAAATCCTAGCCCAGACGGGGCCATTGGGACATATTGTGAGGTGCCGGGAATGTCCTCCAACAAGGTGATACGCCTTCCAACTTTGCAAGCACATCTATTTCATGTCATCAACCGAGTTTGCAGCAGTCTACAAACGGATCCCTGGGGAAGATAACTGACCCAGTGGCCATATGCTTGCCAAGCACGTTGATGTATCTGCATAGCTGTACGTCAAGAATGAACCGCACCTCGGGAAGCGACAGGATGTTCCTGGTGCCCTTGACTATGTTGCTCAGCCAAGGCCAGCTCAGCGTTGGCGTATCTAAGAAGGGGAAATCCATGGCTAGACGTCTTGTAGGGTGTAGCGGGGTTTCTCTAGGCGCTCACGGCCTTGTGAGGATGGCATCTTGAACCGTTGCTCCAGCATTTCGCACCTTCCACTGACGCCATTGCCCTGAACTAGTCTTTGTTAGATCTATCGGCCAATGTCAATCAGGCCCAGCAGGGTGGCCCAGATAAACAGCGGTTGAGACCATTCCCAGGCAGATAATACAGCGTCTGCGGCCCGTACTAACGGTCTCCCACGCAGATGGCGTCAACGACGGGAATGATGCAGGCGTCCAGCAGCAATAGCGACGCGGGCTCCCACGACGACTCGTCTGAACAGGCTTTGTTTGCTCTGGGTGCCGGTCAGAGGAACCACGCACACCACTCACTGTGTGGTCGTGGAAAGAACCGCCAGCGATATTTGCAGGTCCAGCCTTCTTCGTGGCGTATGACAGACAACCTTCATTCAAGTCACCTCAGCAAAGACCCAAGAGTCACGGCCTGAGACGCACCGTTCACCATTTCCGGGCGAGGTACGTACCACGCAAGCAATCGTAGGGACATCGGGTTGGATTCAGAGGCAACGAGCGGTGTCGCGCAGGGTTTTCATTGAGGTCCAATGAGAATTCTCCGGGTCTAGCATGTCCGTCAGTCAGGCAGAGCAGAGCAGATGATATGATTTTCGAGTCGTTGATCATACTTACCATACACTTGGCTCGTAAACAGAAGATCCCATCCTGAGCACACAATACTCTCACAGGGTGCTCTTCCCTCCTTTGCATCAGGCTTGCAACTCATCCATCTCAATGGGAAGATCCGTCGCAACGTCTTATCTGTTCACGCTCGTTCCGAAGCAGGGCGGACCCACCCGACTTTGATGGAATCTAGTCCAAGTCCCACACATGTCGGGCCTGGTAAACACAGCCGGTCTTGCTATTCGGACCGTGACAGGCCACGCTCGAAGCGAGAACACGATGCCATGCATTTCTCCCGCTTCTTCCTGACATGGATGATACGTGTGGGTCATGCCACTGGGAACCCGTGTCAGGTTGAATGAAACGATGGTCCCGCTCGAGGGTGAATTTCATCAGGCTCGTTATTGAGCAGTGGGTAGAGAGACCGGGCAAGCGAGTGTGCCACAGTGAGGACACGACAGGACACATTACTTCTGGCTTCTTGCGGCGATAATGCGCAAGCCATCTGCGAGCTTGAATGCTCCTGCCAGTCTGCGTTTCGAGGTCTTTGTGAGGGCAGGCAGGCAGGCAAGCAGGCGGGCAGGCATCGCTAGGCCTGCAATTCATGTGGACTAATACCCTTCCTGGACGCGATGGGGTATTCTCGACGGGAAGCTGTGTCATTCAAGACATAGGTGGTGCCAGCATCCCATCAGCGAGCCTGAATGATCCTGTCTGTCTGGGAGTGAACGGTCATGGTATGAGCAGGCACCCAGGCAGGCATTTCCGAGGGCTCGAATCCATGGGACCTATACCGTTCCTGGGTCTGATAGAGTGTACATGTGCAGGAGAGACGTGCCCGTCGAATCGTCTTCGCTGTAGGCAGGGAGGATATGCTGGGGCTGCATTGCAGCGTGGTCTACATCGTGGGTACCGAGGAATAAGGGCGGTGTTCCATTTGGGCAGGGCAACTATGGTATGTTGATATTGTTGAGTGCTACAGAACTAGACAAGACGTCCATAGCGATAAAGCATCAAGATGGAGACGTATATGGGAACGGGGATGGGAAGGGGATGGAGATGGGAACTGGGATGTGAGATGTACGTCGGGAAAAGAGAAAAGAGAAAGCCAACCGGGAAGTAGGGCCCGGGGGGGTTTATATAATGTCTCCCTAGCCTTATAATCACAAAGAACATTCAAGCAGTGTGACTGTTCCAGCAAACAAACGACTTCTCTCCCCACATAACGCCGTGAAGGAAGACGGCAAACAGGCAGCGACCCCGAAGGTACCAGAAACGAATGGAATGAGAAATTGAAAGTAAGAGCAGCGCCACTAAGGAAAGAAAGTCACATAGAATCCTCATCACGTCATATCATATCGTTCCATTCCCATCGAATTCACTTGCAGACCAGACTAGCATGTAGCCCGCCAGTCAGGCTGGCAAGCAAGCAAGCAGGCAGGCATCCCAGCCAGGAAACCCTACCTTACCGCTCAACATCCTTCACCTCAATACTCTTCCTCCCGACAACATCCGGCGTCCCAGCCCCATCGACACTCTCAGCAAGATGCATAGGCGGAAGTGTCTTGGCCAAGCGCACTGTATCAAAGACACTGCGCGACTGCAGGAAAATCTCATCAATCTCCTCAAGTGAGCGTCCATTCGTCTCGGGAAAGAAAAAGTACACCGTCGGCACAATCGCCGCGTTCAGCACCGCAAAGATGATGTAATATCGGTACGAGATCGTATTAAAGCCGACGGGGGTCACCTCTGCGAGAAGGAAATTAAACGTCCAGACTGCAGCCGTTGAGACGGCGCTAATCGCCGCGCGGAGCTGCAGCGGCGCGACCTCGGTCGCGTAGAGGAATGTCAACCCGGAGTATCCGACTGTGAAGATGAACTCGAAGACAAAGAGGAAGATTACTGCCACGACGAGGGCGGCCGTGTTGCCTGTTAGGGACGTTGTTCCAGCCAGGATGGCCATTGAGGCGGACATGCCTGCGGCGCTCCAGAGCATGAGCGGGCGGCGGCCTAGCCTGTCGATTGTGAAGAAGGCGAGGAACCCGCCGAGGGGCTGTGTGAGGCACATTGATGCCGCGAGGATGCGGGACTGCAGTGGGCTCAGCCCAAGGTATTGCTCGAAGATCGTGGTCGCGTAGAAAGTTATCAAATTAATGCCGCACATTTGTTGAAACATCTGGCCCGCAGCTGCGAGGACGGTGCGGTGGAAGAGGCGCTGCTCGCCCATGCTGAGCATGTCGCGCCAGGAGCCAGATCCAGATAGGGCGAGGGAGCGCTCGATGTCTGCGAGGGCTTGGGTTATGGAGGGGTCGCTGGGGGCCACGTCGGCGAGGGCGGCGAGGATGTCGCGGGCTTCGTTGATACGGCCTTGCTTGACGAGCCAGCGGGGAGATTCGGGGAAGATGGTTATGAACGCCATGACGAGGAGGGAGAGGATGACCTGGAAGGCGAGCGGGAAGCGCCAGGAGACGGAGTTGCCGGTTACAAAGTAGAAGCCAAAGTCGATCCAGAGGGAGATGGTGATGCCTGCGCCAATGAAGATTCCATCAGTGACGACGTGTGCTCCACGCTTGTTCGCCTGCGAGATTTCAGACTGCCAGACGGGGACTGTCGCGACGTAGCCACCCGTCCCGACACCGAGGACAAGACGAGCAACAATGAACTGTGCAAGACTGTACGAGCTGGCCATGAGAACAGCCCCGATGATTGAAACAGCCGACGTCCAGAAGATGACTTTTCTCCGTCCAAGCAGGTCTCCCAAGTATATGCACGAAAGCGAGCCAAAGATGCCGCCAACGGTATACAACGCAACAACCGTTCCTGTTTCGATCAGCATACTCCAGTCAGTCAGTCGGTCTTGTCAGGCAATCGAACCCTGAATCGTCGAGTTATAGTGCTGCTGCTCCCCCGTCGTCGTCAGCGTGTCCATTGACGGAAACGTCTTGACAAACGATTCCAGTGTGAGCAGGCCCCCCGTCACACCCTGGTTGTACCCGTAGCAGAGGAATGCCGGGCAAACGACGAGCCAGATGATTGCACGGTTGAGCAGCGTGCCGCGGAGGCCAAAGTACGGTGCCATTTTCGGATCAATTGTGATAGTCGAGATCAATCCAGGTCAATTCAATCCAGTTGAGTGAGTTGGTAGACAACGATCCAGTCGTCGCCTCGATACCAGAGCAATAGTTCCATCCCAATTCACACTCGGAGGCGCTCATAGTTAACTGGCACCCATCAAAACGGCCATCGGCGGTGCCCGCTAGACGGTAAGCATATCTCCAACCTCTCCACATCGTCCGCGCCGGTGCACAGTGCAGGCAAGAGCTTGGCTCGGCGGGAGAAGGTGCATTAGACCGCCGATCATCGGACGGACAGGTCGTTTATGCGTTGAAAACTGGGGTTATGCTTCGCTTAGATGCCACTGTCCCGGTGGCGATGCTGTGTTATTGTCTGCGCTCTCCGGTCACGGTGCTGTCTCCACACTCCACACCCCGTTCGGAACCGGCCGATGAGTACGTAAAAGTAACCGAGGTCTGCACTCAGATCTGGGGTTGACATTGAATCCCTGCATTGAATGTGAGGGGTATGTTCTTGGATCGCTGAGATGAAACGTAACTGCGTGGTTGTCGAGAGCTTGGCTTTTGGGAAGTGATTTGGAGAAAAGAGTTCAACCTTATAACGGCCAGCTGCGCTGCAATCTATGCTCGAGTCAAGTCGGTTATCGCATCCTGCGTGATAGCCATGGCTAATTCGATTTGTCACTGGGGTAGATAACGTGGTTGGGATAATGCAATGTGTCACTATCTCTCTCAGCGTCGCCTTTCGTCCGGGTAGAGCGACACAACACGCTGTACGCCTATTAGAAAGGTGTATCGGTGCATATCTTGGTATGTAGATTGTTTGAATTGCATATCTCGTTGTCATCGTGGCTTAGCACATTGTCGAGACGAGCAGGACGAGATCCAAGAGAACTGAGAAACCGATGAGACGTCCAACGTCTCTAAAGCTTACTCGGCCAGTCACAAGAGGCCAAGCCACCCCTCGGCCAATGACTGTTGCTCTTCATCTTCGAGGTCAAGCTTAGCGCCGCCATGGCGGTCCTTGTTTAGAGTTTGCTTCTTGGCTTTGTGCTTTTTTATCCTTGACTTGTGGTAATGTAAGAGGAGAACTTGGGATTGAAGTATCCCCGTAAGATGTAGCCGCTGATGAGCGTGATTGCTGGTGTTGAAGAGGTTGGTTCCACGGTAGTTGCTCATTGCTCCTTCCTAACAGTATCAGAAAGCTTTGATCTGGTCAATGAATCGTGATATCTATATCTAAGTCGTATCTATCTATGTCTATAAGCATGATCTATATGTACTTCACAAATCTATAGCTGCCCCAAAAAAATCGCAAAAAAAAAAAAAAAAAAAAAAAAAAAAACACCAATCAAAACCTTGAAACGAAAAGAGGATATCATAACCAAAATCGCAGAACGAGTGACGAAAGGAAAGGAAATATCGAAAGAACGAGGAGAGCGTCCGCGGTAACAGCCCGCAGCGCTTAGCCAACCGGTCTATTCAACCATTGTCTGCGCGCACGCTCTATCCCTCAGGTAGAGCTGCACCCTAGGCCCCTCACACCCGTCCCTCAAGGGCTGAACCATCTCGAGTACTCGCTCCTTGATAACCCTCTCCCTAATCCCAGCCGCGCCATCAGCACCCGAGTCGTCTAAGTCCTCATCATCGACGTGGAAGAAGCCCTCGATGTCCACCCTCTTCAGCGCTTTGAACTTCTCTTTCCGAGCTTCGAGGACGAGTTGAAGCTGCGAAATGAGCATCGGTAGGGAGTTCTCCTTGCATGCCTCAACGTATAGTCTCTCAATTGAAGTTGGTAAAATCTCAGGTAGAGGCGTCGAGGGTTCGAATGTATAACCGACATCGAGCAGATTCGGAAGACGGATACGGAGGTCTTTCAGGACTGCGAAATCTGCTAGAGAACCAAAGTATCCCTCATACGTTTCGTTGACGCCGCTGGCTATGAAGGCGTGGTGCGTCCCGAGGTTGTCGAGCCACAGGGTTTCCAGGGTGGGTTTGCTGGATGCGAGCGAAGTAAAGAAGGATGCCGGCTGGAAGCCTGAGGCAAGCGCGTGGTCGTCCGAGTGTTGGTATTTGAGGGATTCGAGGGATGGGCAGAAGCTGAGGAGGGATTCGAGCCCTTGCGCGGCGTTGCTGGTGCTAAGGGTGAGGTTTGTGACTGAGGAGTATTGAGCGGATTCTCCCCCAATTTCGTCTTCGGCTTCACGCTCGCTGGCGCCGGTGGTCACCACGGGTTCAATCACCGTGTCGGCGTCGACTGTCCGCATAGATGGCATCCGGAAGAAGGGGAGAATCTGAGCAGGCGAAAGACTTCCCTTGCTCTCGCCATCTTCCATATGTCTCAACGATACTTCTTCCAAGCGGAGAAACTTGGCAGACTGTCTTTCGCTGCTCACAGCCCTGTCGAAAATCCGATTGAGGTATTTGTTCTCACGGGGGTATGCCAGCTTGAGCTGCCGGATATTGTTCGCTAGCGACAAGAGGAGGGCGACCCACGCCTCTTCATTGCCGTTGAGGAGATCCTGCTCCCATTTAACATGCTCTTCATTGGAGTGGCTGAATGACTGCGCCCATGTGGACAGCTGTGCGAGCTCATCGGAATCAAGAGAACGCTGCGCCGGCGCAGATTCCCATCGGGATAGATCGAGGAATTGGATGACAGATGCTAAACTCGGTTGACGAACAATTGCTTTCAAAAAGAGTTGAAGCTGTGTAAGATTCCTCAATATCGCAAAGCGAAAAAGCGCACGCGAGAAAAGAGCGTGGAAGCGACTATTGACCAGGACTGCATTGTAGCAGTCTCCGCGATCCTCGAGATAATCTCCGATGAGAAGGATGACGTCGTTGGGGAGGCTCTCCATGATGGACGTCGCTCGCGGGGCAACCCGATGAAAGAATGTAGAAGTGGATTGAGGCAAAGCAGGGGAGGAGCTGTCCAGCTATATCTCACTCTCAGGTCCCTCGATTCGAGTCCATCGCAGCAGTGATTTTCAATTTCAATTAACCGAAAGCATCAAATCTTCAGAATCTTCGGGTGCGAATTCCCACAAAATCTCCCCGGCAGAACCAATCAGAAAACAATCGACTCTAAAGCTTCTAAGAACCCAAAAGCCCGATGGCGATCGAGAGGTTGACGGGCCGCATCCACGGTTCACACTTCGGATTCTGAATACCGCCTCGTGCGCTCAGGAAGGAACAGCGAGGCGGCTTGTCGGATTCACGGGAGAAAAAGGGACCATCGTCACCATCGTGGGGACACATCATCGTCGAGTGAAACCTCCCCCGTCGCGACTCTCTGTATGATTCGCATACAGCCTTCAACGGCCAGCGATCCTCGTGCACCAACGCACGCAGCCGGAGACCCCTAGACGCCTGAGTCGCGACTCTGCATAAGGCGAGTGTGATGAGGAAGGCAAGGCGAAGTGGCTGATGGACTGGCGCAATGTGATTCGACGGCGATTGTCAGATCTCAGTGGAATGGGTCGGGAAGTGGATTCTGCTCGCCTTGGTGGTGGATCTGCCATCTGCAAATTCTGCACTGCTTGACCATTTTCAGGGCACTCTTCAGAAATTCAGGAACACTTTTGCTGAGAAATCATTAGAACTTTTGAGAGGGATTGACAGGCAGCTCCACTGTGTATCCGAAAATAAGCCGGATTCTAGAAATGTTCGCAGGAGAGTACTCCGGAGATGCAGGACGGAAGACGTTTTCCAGAGGAAGATGCAAATTATATCAGAAGTAACCGCGAGAAGCGAGGTCCGTTCGGAGACATCGGACCACGACTCATCAGGCACTTGGGAGATAAGAAGAAGGGTCTAAAGTCTCTGTAATGGCCATGTACCGAGCATGCCGTAGAGACCTCTGCGAATCCAAGACTGAAAGACTTCACTCAAACTGTCTCCGTGTCGATGTGGAAAACAGTAGGATGGTTGCTTTGCTGTTATAGAGGTTCTGTCGGTTGGTGGTCATGAGCCCAGCGAGACTCCATGGCTTCTTGCCCAGCAACACAAAAGCTTAGATTGATTCTGGTAGCCTTGGCTGCTGGTATATTACTCTAATCCACATGCATATCTTGAACATCTCGCAGATGTCAGTACTAAATGTCTAAGATATCCAAGATTAATTCTTGTCGACGTCGGGGCACGCCTTCAACGGAGCTGGGGCCCCCCCTATGTACAGCGGGGTAGTCCTCAGTGGACAACGAAGTATGGAGGGGTAAGCAAGCCACTCAAAATACTATGGCTAAGGATAACTCTCATTCTCCCTGGTCGGTCAGTGTTTTGTCAATCTTGATGAGATCAGTACCTAGATCTACGGATATATATCCCCGTACCTTCGGCAAGCGTATTCATTCATCACATCATAAACGTAGGCTATACTTGAAGGCAACAAGCACAGAACTCATCTCCCTGTCCTAATCACTACTTACTACACCCCCTCCTACAAAAACAAGAAGACCGAACCTCAACATCCGCCCCCGCAACCGCAAACTTCAACAATTCCCCCACAATCCCCGCCTCGCCCTTCCTGCCCAGTCTTACAAGACACTCATACAACCCATGCAAAGCCCACACATTCCCCGGATGCTGCAACGGCCTCGGCAACGTCCCATCAAGCCCCAGATCCGCCTTATACACCGCCGCCGCTTCCTCGACCCGCCCTTGCTCTAGTAGCAGCGCGCCGTAGGCATGCCGCGTGGGCTGCATCCAGCCCCAGGGTTCGTCGTAAGGGAGGGTGTCGTCGAGGGTTATGGCGTGGCGGAGGTGCGTGAATGCTTCTTCGAAGTCGCCGCCGCGGTATGCGAGTTCGCCGGCGAGCATTGAGGAGGCGATGGCGAGGATGTCGGTGCAGGTGTTGTTGAAGAGCATGCGCGTGGTAGGGACTTTATTGTATGAGGTTTCGAAGAGGGTCTGTTCCTCTTCTGCTTCGTTGATGCGGCCCATCGCGGCCAGGGCGACGCCTTTGCCGTAATGGATCATTGCCGTGGTGACGGCGTAGATATCTTGGTCCTTGGGAACCTCCAGGTTTATTAGTTCGTCCCACTTACCGAACCTCACGAGCACATGCACCCTCATCGCTAGAAATCCCTCTAGCCAATCCGCCATGGGCGGCGACGTAACCCGTAACAGCTCCTCTGGAATCTGCTTCTCAAGCTCTGCTGCTGTTTCCAAAGCCACACGCGACTGGCCCGCGAACATAGCTGCATAGATACGGAAGTGATAATTATGAGCGCGATACAGCGTATAGAAGTTGACGGGTCCCGCCCGTGCCACGAAACGCTCATCCGAGCGAATCGCCTCCGAGTTGGAGGATATCGCGCGGCGATAGTCTCCGCAAAGGATATCAAGATGCGTCGGCATGTGATTTAGATGCCCTGCGTCTGGAACCAGGCCGCGGAGGTGGTCCGCAATGACTAGTGCTTTCTCAGGCGTCCCGGACATTTCCATCAGATGAATATAGAGATGTAAGAGGCCCGGATGCTGGAGGCCGCCTGGTAGGTCTAGCGCGCGCTCCAGAATAGCCTTGATCTCGAGCGTGCGCGCCCCTGGTGCTGGCTGCCCGGTGCGTATATTCCAGAGTGCCCAGGGGTTTAGATTCATTAGGGAGTCGGCATATAAAGCTGCGACGTCGAGGTCGTTGGGGAAGCGCGTGTATGCCTTTTGCATGGCATCGGCGTAGCCCTTGTTCCAGGCTGAGCAGCGCTCTGCTTCGCTCTCCCCTTCTTCCTCTTCCTCTACCGTCCCCGGAGAAGGAGGGTGATTCTCCGGATATCGAAACTGCACGGCGTCGATGATTGCCTTTTCCACATCGACATCGTCGCCCGCTGCATTCGCATCGGCATCAGAAACAAGCCTCCCCGCCTCCCTCGCAGCCTCATGTGTCCTCCGAATCGTCTCAGCCAACTCGGCTTGATCGAAAAACTGCCAGGGCTTATTATAATTTGGACCTAATGTATACGCGAGCCCCCAGTGCGCAAGGGCACAGTTCGGGTCGTGCGATATTGCTTCTTGGAAACATTTGGCGGCTTCCTCGTGGTTGAATGCGTAGGTCCAGATTAAGCCGCGGTTGAACCAGGCTTGTGTTGCTGGGGAGGTGGTTTTTATGGGGCGCCTGTATGTGCCTAGGTTGTAGTATTCTTCTTTGGATGAGGTCATTGTTATATTGGATTCTATGGGTTGTTGAAGGTTGATGCTGGAACATGTATGGGCGTTTGTGTTGATGGTGTTGGATAAGTGGGGTCGATTCCCGATGGCATCAGCCCGTCTTCTACAGATACAACCGTCCACGAACACGCAACCCGACAAGCCAACTGGTGCTTTCGATGCATTTATTGATCTAGATGGCTCGCGGTTTCATACATAGAGCATTACCAAAACAACACTAAGCCACACAAACACCGTATATTCAACCCGCTCGATCAACCACCGGCGGAAATTGTCCTTGTGCGCGACCAGTAGAGAGACAGTTCAAATGCACCCTTGTTAACTTTTCCAGCATGTTCAAATCCATCCGTTCCATAGTCCGGACCCCGGCCGCAAAACCAGTATTATTTCTTATAGCCATCGTAGTGGATAGATAGTTGAGAGACAATCGCGCGCCAGGATAGATTGATCGAGAAGAGACCTTGCCGAGAATCGTTCGCCGTTCGCTCCAGATAGGTAGTCCGATAAATCGTTTTATTCCTCTTATATCCCGAATCATTCCGAGCAAACAAAAAAAAGCGAATATGATGGTATTATGAACGCTCCCGCGCGACAATCTATCGTAATCCCAGGTCCGTCATCTCGACGTTTTCTGCGGAGCCCATCCAGAGGATGTTGTTACATCTGTTCTCGTTAGCATCGCTCTCTCTGTCTTCCATGCTCACCGACTCTGGTCCATTAACCAAGCCAAGACCGAAGAGAGTGGGGAACCGCAAACGCAACGCACCTAATAAGCACAAGACCCAGTGTCCCCGTATTCTTCCCATCAATAAACTCCTCCGTATCCCGCAGCAGCACGTTCATGTATGAGTCGATGCTCTCCAGGCGGCCCTTGTACTCTGTCTGTCCCCATTTCAGGCGGACAATCACGTCGGTTCCGACCCTAGCGCGTGTTAGAAGGAAGATAGTAGCTTGCTAGCAGCAGATGGATATCGGGAAGGAAAGGAAGTGTGTGGTGTGGTGTCGCTCGGCGTACCTGGCTTGGAGGTAGGGTCGGGGGTTTACGGGTTGGAGCTGTGCGATGCGTGTCAGTATGTATTTCACAGAGAGAAAGCTAGATAGAGAGATAGATTGTGTTTGGTTTGGGGAACGAACACTCATCGTGGGAAGGATCTGAGGGTGCGGTTGCGGAGGTGAATCGGGAGTTCTGCGTGGACGGGGATTGGAGCCAGTCCGTTCCAAAGAGGTTTATGTCGGCAGCGGAGGTTCGGCTTCGGCTGCTTTGGAAGATGCGAGATGTTCTCCTGCGACAATGCGGTCGGAAGTCTGGTCAATCTGCGGAGAGGTCCTTCGTCCGACCTGGAGGGAAAATGTGCTGAAGCTCGACGCGACCGTTTCGGCCAATCACGCGTGGTTTGGGTCGACCGCCTTTACAGCCAGAAAGCTCAGGCATCAATTTGGGCTTCGTCGCGTTCTCACAATCTTCAATAAACTTCAGCTTGCAACAACCCGGATCGAATCCTCATTACTTAGACATGTCAGAATACTACAGAAACTAGTCGCTCCATCATTACATTCGAAACCTTCAAACCTCCGTCCCTCCGCTCCAGATCAGGCCCGACCAACCTCCCACGAAATCTCCTTGATAGCAACCTCATCCCCAGCCTTCTCATCATAATCATACCACTCGCCTTCAAGCAGTTCAATGCCCGTGAACGGCGTAGAAGACTCGATACCCTTTGCCTCCCATTCGCCCTAGATAATGTCAGTCGAACGCAGACACAAGACCAACAGGAGGGAGAAAAGAAAAAAAAAGGACCTACATCAGCCTTAAACTCCGTAAACTCCAGCCCGCGACACTCAATGTCAATGATCTTCTGCCCCTTCTTCTTACCCTCCGCCTCAGCCTCGTAGGCCTTAGGGGCGGCTAGGATCGACGCGGAGTGCGTCCTCTGTAGATACACCATCAGCATGGTTAGTCGCGCTTTGCAAGGTACTCATTGTTCAGTAAGCGCACGGGACGACGAACCTGGCAAAGCTTGCACTTCCAGACAAAGTTGGCCTCGCCACGACTTCCGGGGATCTCATGCTGTTCCTGTTTCCACAATTAGTACTGACGGCCATAGTGCGATCACGATTGATGGGGATTAAATGGAGGAGGGGCACGGCGACGTACAAACCGGTTGAAGCTCACCCAGTTCGGGTGGACTTCGCGACACGAGGTACATTGCACCTTGAAAGTATAGTAGTAGGGTGATTCTTCGGTGTCCTGCGGACGGAGGTCGGTGACTCTGGACTCGTTTTAGCGAGGCTCAATGTTGGATAGATTCATAGATGGTCGAGGAAGGTCTGTGGTGTTGGTGCGGGGAAGTGGCCTGGGTGCGGCAGTGGGATGGGTATCTAGTTTGCAATGATGGCTTGTAGATGGAGATAACTTACCCTGAGAGCTCAGCGGTTAGGATGAGGGAGAGCATCTTGCCTGGCTATGTTGGTTTTCACGAGGTATTGCTGCGATGCCGGCGTGTGGTGGTGGTTGAAGTTCCGAGCGGGGCAGATGAAGCTTTTGGTGGCCCCCTTGTTACGCGACAAAGCAGCGACAACAAGTAGGAAGAAAATAAAATTACGCACAAATGGGAGAATATTATGATTTGCAAAGATGAATTCAGAATCTAAGTTCCAAGTATTGAGGTTCTAGGTATGTGCAACGAACGCCAAATATGCTAATCATGGATCAAAGCAGCCGTAAAGACAAACGGAATATATACACAGCGGACAAAACAAGCTGATTACAGGCGGCTCTGCTGGTCCTGGCCCAGCGACTTCGTCGAGAAAGCGCCAAAGTATGCGTTGAGAGCATCGACGGTGCCGCTGCCCTCAGTCAGCTGCACGGTGCAAGCAACGTGGCTGTCCGGACGAGTAACGACAACACCACCCTTCTCAGGGTCGAATCCGAGCTTCTCGTGAGCGGCGTACGTGGCAGTGGGGACTCTGACATCAGGAATATCATCAGAGTAGATGTGGTACCGGTAGTCGCGCAAAATCTGGGGAACCGAGGCCATATCAACATCGTTCTTCTTCTCAGCAAAGATCAGGCAAAGAGTGAACAGCTTGGAGTGAGGGGCATGGCGCTCAAAGTGGGAAACCTGGCCAATGTCGGATCTGCGGTACGAGGAGAGGAATGAGCGCTCCTTCTCGAGGTTCGCGGCGAAATCGGCGAGAGCTTGGTTGCTCTTTGCCTGGCGACCGGCGAAAATGAAGATGCGGAACGCGCCGTTGGCGGGGACTTCCTGCTCAAGGTGCACAAAGTTGGAGTCCGCAAGACGGGTGACGGTGGATGGTGTGAAGGCCTTTCCAGTAACCAACTTCACGCCAGGAACCTGGAACAAAGGTGACTGGGCAGGGTGAGTGGAATCCCAGTTGAACACGTTGGGCTTGTAGGCAACACCGTAGCCACTGGTGAATTCGCAAGAATCCTTAAAGGTCTTCACGAAGGGGTCCTCCTCAACACTGCGAGCAGTATCGGCGGTGCTGGCGGAGCCGACTTCACCGGCGCTAGGGCGGCGCTTGGAGAAGAGAGCAGCGTACTTGTTGTCAAAGTCGAGAAGAGTCTCGGCGATGTCCTTGCGCTCGGTTTCGTATGTGCTCAAGATGGAGCGCTTGGCCAATCCGGATTCAACCGCATGAATCTTCCAGGCCATGTTGAGCGCGTCGTGGAACGCAGTGTTCATACCCTGACCAGCCTTGGGCTATAAACGTATTAGCGACTAGCAACATACCCGAGGATATAGAGAAACTCACGCTGTGGGTGTGGCAAGCGTCGCCTCCCATGAAGACGCGCTCGTCCAAAGTGTAGCGCTCGGCGATACCCTGTCCAATGGGGTAGACAGAATACCACTCCACGCGATCCCATTCCAAATAGTATGGCGCCAGAATCTTCTTCGCAACTTGTTGGACCTCCTCGGCGGTCGCGGTCTTTCGCGGGTTGAAGTCTGGGTCTGTGGAGGAGGCAATCTGGACGTAGAGACGGACCATGTTGTCTTCGCGGGGAATAACCATGATAGACCCGGCGTCGGAGTGGATAGTGCACTTGGTCTATATTGCGGAGAAAGGTTAGCTAAAGTCTTCTTCAAAAGGCGCACCAGATATACTGACCTGAATATCAGGGAAGTCTGTCCTCACGACACCGTCCATAACACCCCAGACGTAGGAGATGGGATCCTTGTGGTGGATCTGGATACCAAGCTGTTCGCGGACGAAACTACGCGCACCCTCACCACTGAACAGGTACTTGGCGCGGACGGTCTCGATTACGTTGGTATCCAGGCACTTGAGCTGGACCTGGACAGGGTAGGTCTCGTCCAGACCATCGTTCTTGAATCCGGTGATCGTCCAGGGTCTCTCAACAGTTGTACCAGCCTTCTTGATCTCGTCCAGGAAAGCCGTCTCGATCTTACCCTGGTGAACAAGCGTCGTGAAGGGGTATCGTGTGTCGATGAAGCGAGGGCAGCTGGGCCAGTTTCCGGTACGCTGGATACCGCTTCCGTCAGGGCGGGGATCCCAGAAAGACACGTCGTAGACCTTGGCTGGGTCATAGGACATGATCTTGCGCTTCAGACCCAGGTTGCGGAGGATCTCGGTTGAGCGGGGCTGGATGCCATCGGCGCGACCAGTCGCGGTAGGGACAGGGCGGTTATCGATGTGCTTCACCTTGTAGCCCCAGCGGGACATGCAAAGCGACAGGAGAATGCCAACAGGGCCGGCGCCCACGATGACAATGTCATACTTCTTCGGATAGCTGTCGCTCGTCATTATGGTGTAGTCCGAATGTGAATCCGATACAGGAATGATCGCCACAAGCCAGTCTTTGCAGTGTTTTGGTAAAGAAAAAGGAGGTATACCTTTTCACACCACGGGCGTCAAGATCAGGCGAGGAATGAGAATGCAAAAGAGGAATGTGTGTCATCTTGGAACTGGGCTGGAGAGGTCATATATAATGGGCGTTGGAGATGGGGAACATGGGCCGATTTGCGATGGGAAGGCCCAACGGAGGACCACAACGGCAGTCATGTCGGCTGGATCGTGGGGACATAAAAGACAGACGAGGTGGTCCCGTAAGCGCACCCAAACTGCAGGAGAATCCACTGGCAGCGCGCAGAAGGGCGAACTGGGCTGGGGGATTTGCTTGCTTGGTTGCGGGGAGGCGAAGACAATGCCGGTGCTTCTTCCGGGCGCCCCAAAGCGCTGCGGCTAAGAAGTCGGCAAGTGGAGAGCAGCCACGTGACCCCAGCTTCGGCAGCATCGCCCGGGATTTTGTGTGATTACAGAGCACGGAGGAGAGCGCCTCGGATTGGCTCCAGCTGGTGCCGGTTTTCCTCCCATGGCGAGTTCAGTCTCCACAAACTTGGAAGCCTCTAAGCCTGCACGCAAGGAGAGAGAAAAGACAACTTGGATACATCATACAGACGACGCATGTTTGCTACTATGCTTTAGACGAGTCAGAAAGCCAAGGCCGCTTTGTTTGCTCGAGTCTGACCGCGTATAAGCGCAGCGCGCATGTAAGGGTCTCAATTGTGAGTTGTCGACTTCAAGGTTAAATCCGAACATCCGTGCCTCTTTGCCAGACATTGCCAAGCTTCCGCTTCCGCTGTATCCTCCTGCTGTTGCCGTGCTGAATCCCATGGTTCCCCACCCCACAACCTCCAATGACCGGTACCCCTGGATATATTACTCTGTTAATCTCCATTCCGCGGGCACTGGACATCGGCTTATTCTGGCGTCTGTATGGAAATCCCGAGCTACGCGCCTGCGCTTGATCCCGTCTGATCTTCCGTACCACCGAGATAAGATTCAGAAATTACCCACCGCTCGAGGCGGTATTCGAGGAAGGTATGTAACTTGTAGATGCTTCGTAGAATCAGGTGTTATACCACTGTAGGAGTACGTAGAGAGCGTGGCTTACACTCACATGTTCCCGGCATGCCGAGTTGAAGTGCCTTGGAGCCTGCGGAGCCGTCTTCTGTTACTACCCACCTGGAGATAGCCACTCTGGTTACTCTTGCTGCGCGGGTTCCTGCTCGTGGGCTCAATTGTTCCTTAGCGATTGGCCCCAGCTATTGTCTTCTCAAGACCGCGAGCACTTTTGTCTTGGAGCATTGTTCTGCTGCTATTGGCACTGGGACGCTCGCGCAATGATGCAAGCATACTCCTATTGTTCCTCGTCATTTCATGCATCATCAATTCAATTTATTTTTTAAAATTCCAAAAGTAGACTCAATAGACGATCATTCAATGACATTGTTCCCATTCCCTATTGTTGTGATGGGGTTTAGAAGCAGTGACTGCTGCGGCCTGCATATTCACCTCATCCTCTTCCAGCTAATCTCCCCACCTTATATAGGACAATCTGTCCTGAATGAACCAGAAAGTCTTTACAACAATAGGGTGAATAGCACCCAGGTGACTATGCTATTGTTTAGAATAGGTGACTGTATCTACCTGATGAACAATAGGCTCGAGTTTTTACGACTTCACAGTATAACTGCAGCGACTGCCCTCGTAGATTGTGTATACCAGACCCCTCCCCATCATTCCCCTTGCTAGATAGTTGAAACTGCGTATTTACAGTACCTGGACTTCATCATTTCCAAGCCCAAAGCAACCCCCTCCCCCATCACCAAGATGAACTCCGAAAGCTGCGAAGTCCCCATCATGCTTGACCTCGAGTACGTTTAACCCTAAGCCAAGACCAAGCCTATACTAACCGCAGCCACAGGGGCCTCGCCTACGAAGACATCGCCAAGCTCAACCCCTTCTATGAAGAATACAAGACCTTCTGGGACGTCCCTCGGGATCCCCCCTCCGACTACTCTCTCTTCTCAGGACCCTCAATCAGCTCCGCCTCGCTCCCCTCATTGGGCTCCGGGTCCAACTTCTCTTCTCTTCCATTCGATGCCGCAACGTCTCCTGCTTTCCGCATTGGAGCGCATCCAGACTGCTCATTTCCGGAGAGTTCCCAGGTCATTGTGCACGGCGGCCAGCAGTACAGACCTACCTATGACGAGTGCCATGACACCGAGTCGAGCCAGATTGCCATTGTCGACTGCGATGCAATGAAGCGGCCGCTTTCTCCCGTGCGTGAGTGCACAGAATATCAAATGTCCGATGTTGCGCCGCATGACCCTGTTGAGGGTGCCCTTGGCCGCTCGAGGTCCTCGCACAAGCAGTTGTTTGGCGCAGGAGGCTGGCTCGGATGTACCACAGAGGTCGCGACGAACAACAAGCTAAAGCACAAGAGCTTCAAGGCCATCGGAAAAAAGCTCAAGCAGCACGTGGAAGAAATCGTAAGTCTGCCGTTTTCCTCCGTTCCCCTTCAGCAGCTAACATGCCCAGGCCGGCGAAATGGTCAAGACACATTCAATCCCATTCTATGTTCCCCGCCAGCCCAGAGTCCTCGACCGATCAACCGTCGCCATCTCGCTCGATCCCACCACACAAGCCAAGCTCTACTCGGAGATGGAAGTGATGATCTGCGTCAGCGCCAACAAGTTCCTCCTCGAGGAGTACAACGGCGGCCGCATCTCCAAAGACTCGATCAAGAAGATCAACAACTACTGGGGCTCAAAGAACCGGCCCGACGTGGTCGAGTTCCAGTTCGACCAAGCGACCCAGCGCCAGCTGATCCTGTCCAATATCCGCACCTTGCACTTCAACGGAGAGAGCTCAACGAACCCAGTGCTTCTCAACTCGAATCTCCAGAACTGGAAGGCTGTCGTCAAGGAGATGAGCGTCCGCACATTTTGTGCCCCGGACAGCGTGATCCGCAAGCATATGCATGACATTCAGAAGTTGCTCGACATGCTTGGTGCTCCGATCGGTACGTTCCTCGCGTTCGAAGAGTTGCAGATGCGGACTTTGGCGTTTCTGAAGGAGCAGAGGGCGAGAAATTACCTTGCTGAGGGTGGGCGCTCCATGTCGGTGAGGACGAGCCTTTCGTCCCAGTATTGAGGCGATCGAGATCAGGTTCAACGTCAGCCGCTAAAGAGAAACGCCAAGTTATGAGTATTTACGAAGCATGTACATTATTATCTATCCCGGCAATCAGTTTCGCTTGTTTTGTTGTTTTCTTTTCTTCGCCGGGGCTTCACTTACCTTTATTTTTGTTTAATTCATGACGTCTCCGAATCAACTACATGATTTTCAATCTTTTAATCACTTCTCTCGAGTATTCAGAGGGAGACATAATCCTGAATTTTGTTGAAACGTTGAGGAACAAAGCGTCCCTGTGTGGTTGACTAGACTCGTGAGATTAGCACGTGGGACGACGTCATAGGCTCACGCGCTGGGATCGACACGCTCACAGCAACAAACCCTCGAGCTGTCGCCTACTTTTTCCAAGCTCCATATCCTTTTTCCTTTCCAATGTGATGTACATTCGCTACTTTATTACCATACTCAATCAATCACCTCTCTATCGGAGGATTTCAAGCTTTTGGACTACCGCTCTTCATGTCATCCCTTGCTGACCGACAGTTCGAGAATAAGGCTGCAGCTGCCCAGTTGCCTGTGTTGCTTGCTAACTAGCCAACCAACCAACCACTATGACTGCTCTCTCCAACTCACTCGCTTCAGCTGTCTTCTGATTCAGCTTCCATTCTTTTGATCTCAGGTGAAACGCAAGTGAACCGCAATGGCTGGCCCGCTACATACCTACGGACCGACCTGTCTCCTCGCCGATGACGATCCGGACCCCTCCACCTGGCACTCCCTCGAACAACCGCCGAAACCTCGTCCACAATTCTTTTATACCTCGTCGCTTCCCATCGATGATCCTCTAAGCGCCCTGCCTCCTCCCGCTAGCGGCCAGGCTCAAGTCGACGAGCGAGTTCCCCCGCAACCTTTCTCAGTGAGAGATCATATCGCGTTAGAAGAGGCTTGGCTGGCCATACAACGAGCGAAGCGGCAGCAAAATTCGGCGAGGTCGGAGTCCCGTGCAGGTAGCGTCAGGAATACAACGGTGGGGATAGCTGTGCCAGGGAGGGAGACCGGTGTCACATTCGACAGTCCGACAGGCAGCCGTCAGAAGGCGGATCTGGCTGGGAGCCAGAGAGGACGTCACGTTGTTCCGGGATCTGGTTCGAGCTCTAAGACGCCGCCACAGAAGTTGCCCTTTCGGCCAAACGAGGACTCGCCGCGGGAAGGTGGCTCGCTTGAGAGAACGAGTGGCCCGTCGACCTTTGATGGCAGCATGGGCGAGGGCGTCACATTTGCGAATCAGCTTCATCGCAAAAGAGAGATTTCCCCAAGCGCTAATTTGAAGAGTGTGCGGCGCAAAATTGGCGAGGCTCGGAAAGAGGATCCTGACGGCGGAGATAGCGTCGGGTCCTACGGTCATCGCTCTCGGGATGCCAGCATTAGTGGGTCGCCTTTCTTAAGAGCTACAACTCAACCATCAACCCCTCTTTCTCGATCCCTCGAATCCGTCTCGGTGAGAAACGGGGACCAGGAGCCACATGACGAGCCTCAAGCCGGACTCGGCTACGCGGCTTTGAAGCCTTCTGGACTTCGGACAAGCACTTACCAAGAACAGACTACAGATGACTCCATGGCGAATACTGATATCGAGTCGGGGAGGGAAGAGGTCGATGCCAAGATCCCTGTGGGCGTATCTCGACTGCATCTGGTCGAGCTACCAAATCTCAAGGTACCTTCCACTCCTGACTTTGCAGCTAGATACTTATACTCCGTAGATGAAACCAATATATTGGAGTCCTCTGCACGATATTTCGAACGTTCTTCGCGCAACATGGTTTTACAAAAACACTATGCTACCAGTAGAAACTGAGCTTGCAAATAGACTGGAAGACGGCTACGCCTATCTGAAACCTTGGACCGAGACATGGCAGGATGAGTTGAATAGCTGTGTTGAAAATGGCGCAGATGCCGAGATGAAGATCGTGCACAGGTTATGGCCGAAAGAAGACGACGCACCTCCTAGCAGGAATGGTAGTGTTGAAGTCGAAAATGATCTTTCAGATCTCACTGAATTCATTGACTGCCGGGCAGCCGGTGGCTCATCCGCGCTTGCTGCAGCTGTCAAGCCTTACATGACGTCCAGCGTCATCTACGCTGACGGAAAGAATGCGCAGATCCTCCGACCCAGCTTACTCCCATCGGCATCCCGAGGGCGGAGGCCGCTCAGTGCTATACGCAAAGGACGGCAGATCGGTGTACCTGTTGTTCGCGGCTTCAGTAGACGGGCATGGGAGAAATTACACCCCTCCAAGCCCAGTCCCGTCGATGTCCGAAACTACCTGCGCGGCGCCCAAGCCAAACCCAGAACGCCTGGGAGCGGCGGCCAAGTCTGTTATGCATGCGCGATGGAAGAGGCACGGCCTACACCCACTGACCTAGTATTCGTTATCCACGGTATTGGGCAGAAACTCTCTGAGCGCATGGAGAGCTTCCATTTCACCCATGCCATTAACGCTTTCCGGAGGCAGGTCAACGTGGAACTCAATAGCGAAGAAGTATGGCCGCACGTGCGAGACGGTCATGGAGGAATCATGGTCCTCCCGATCAACTGGCGCTCGACATTATCCTTGGAAGATGCAAACCTAGAATCACAGGTCACAGATGATCCAGCTTCGAACCACTTTACCTTGAAGGACATCACGCCAGAGACAATACCAGCCGTGCGGTCATTGATCAGCGATGTCATTCTCGATATTCCCTACTACTTATCACACCACAAGCCCAAGATGATCGAAGCAGTCGTCAAAGAGGCAAACCGTGTCTTTCGACTGTGGTGCGAGAACAATCCCGGATTCCAGCAGAACGGCCGCGTTCATCTGGTTGCTCATTCGCTTGGCAGCGCCATGGCAGTCGATATTCTGAGCCATCAACCCACGACGATACCGGACTTCGACTTTCCGGACGTCGACCTTCATACAGACATCTTTGAGTTTGATACTAAGAATCTCTTCCTCTGTGGCAGTCCCGTCGGGCTGTTCTTGTTTATCAATAAAGGTGCGTCCTTACCTATAAAGTTTACTCGCAGCCTGTTACTCACATGAATCCAGCAAACCTTTCGCCTCGAAAAGGGCGAAATAAGCCAGGTGCCGAGGGAGACGATCGACTCAAAGGCGTAGCCGGCGACGTAGACACTTATGGCTGTCTGGCTGTGGACAACCTCTATAATATCATGCACACAACAGACCGTGGGCCAGCCCCTCTACCTTATTCCCCAACTAAAACCCTACCCGACTAACACCATCTAGCAATTGCCTACCGCGTCAACGCAGCCGTCGACAGCGACCTCGCCGCCACCCTAAAACCCGCGTCTATCCCCAGCACAAGCGCCTCGCTCTGGACATCCCTCAGCAGCCCCTTCCGCTGGAGCACTTCCCACACCCCCGAACGCCCATCCCTCCTCGCCGCCTCAAAGCTTCCCTCAAACGTCGAAATGGAAACGCACGACTTTACGCGCGAAGAAATCGCCGAAAAGCGCATGCTCTTGCTCAATGACAACGGGCAGATCGACTACTTCCTCTCCGGTGGCAGTGGGCCACTGAGTATCCAGTATCTGAATATGCTAAGTGCGCACAGCAGTTATTGGATTCTGACGGATTTTGTCCGGTTCTTGGTTATTGAGATTGCGAGGAAGCAGGGGAGGGATGCGGTCTTGCCGGTGCTTAGGGCAGAGAAGAGGAAGGGGTGGAAGTATGTTAAGGGGTGAGTGATTTGGCCTTTCTTTTCAGGTCTATTTCTAGTCTTAGCCTGTCTCTTTGGGTATGCAAGGATGCATGCGTTCTAAAAGGGGTTTGTTTATTAGAGAGGTGTGGCTGTGCTTCGTTTAAGCGATCTGATAGAGGATTGATATGTGGGCGGATGTAGACAAATAGGTGCCTATAACTTGGTCCTGGCCTTAGTTCTTAGTCCACATATAGCTAGTTTATTATTCTTAACTGAGTAGTGTACAGCATCATAATAATGCCTTGGCTTCCGCCTTGACCGCAGTGATCATTCAGGGCTACAGTGGAGGAAACGGGGTATAAGTGGGGTTGCATGCGGTCAAAAGTGGAGATCGATTTCAAGTCCTACCATACTAGTATAACCTAGTTCATAGAGATACTCAGTCTCTACCAAGCTATTAGCCCAAGTAAAAGTGAAATGGCCATCTTCTGGATGGTCATATACTCTCCAACATCCCTTCTACTTCCACTCCAAGACCCCCATCCGCTCAAACGCCTCTTCAACCCCAACCAACCCTTCCACACCAAGATCTTCCTTCGTAAGAACCTCGCACCACCCCTGCGCTTCCTCTCCCTCCTTTTCTGAAGCAACCGAAAATGCCCTTGTCCCCATAACCTCAAAATATAAATGCGACAGATGAAACACCTCGCTCCAAACCGGCCAGAGAGATCTATAGTCCTCCTTGTTCAGCGTCAGGCACCTCGTCTGAATCCCCTGGTGGTTCGAAAAGGCATCGACGACCTGGGCAATCTGTCTGTACTCGAGGACCGTCGAGACGATTTTCCCGTTCGCGGATTTTGTAAGGTGCGGTTGCTCCAGGATCGCGCGCACGAAGAGGCCCGCGTTGGTCTTTTCGTCGCCCAGGAGTGGGATGGGCGTTGAGGAGGGGATACTTAGGAGTTGCACGTGCAGTTTCGATCCGTCGAGGGTTCGAATGCGCGTTGGTGTGTAGATGGGCACAAGCATGTTTCCCGCGAACCAGGCAAGCCAGAGGAAAGTCGTCTTCTTCAGAAGGTCGGGAAGGGAAGATCGTATATAAGCATCAACGCGGTTCTTACTCTCGTAGTACGGGACCACGACCTTCCCCCCGGTATTCGCGGCGGAGTTCGGGAGCGTTGACCAGATGTAGTGCTCCAGCGTCGGTGTTTCGGCGGCCGCAATAGCGAGGTTTATGCCCTGCGCCGTTTCGATTTCCATTGCGCCGGCAAATCCGAGCGTTGGCAGGGCCTCGAAGAAATTCGTTACGGCGAAGATGGCGTGTGTGCCTGCGAACGCGGTGTGAAGGGAGGTTATGTCGTTGAGGTCGGCCTTGACTACTGTGATTCCTTTTGCCGAGAGGGATTTCGCAGCGGCACTTTGTGGGTTGCGCGTTACGGCGCGGATGCTGTAGGTTGGCGTACCGTTGTCCAGCAGGGCGGATACTACTGAACTGCCTTGCGTGCCGGTGGCGCCGACGATGGTGATGATTTTGGACATGGTAGTTGAGGCAGGATCAAAGTCTTTGGGAGTGAATGTTTACAAACTTGTTGTGTTGACATGAGTGATCTTGGAGGAATTGGTGCCTTAAGTAATTTATGAGGCCGCAGCGGAAGTCCGCATCCGTTGGATGCCAGCATGTAATTCATGAGAAGGGCCGCACACAGGGCATAGATGTGGTCCGGAAAACTGATGAATTGGCGGTGCTGGGATCGGGGTTGCGGCGGGCAAATGTGGATCTCTGCAAAGTCAGACTAGAATCTCGTATAGCAGCAGACCTAAGCTGAGAGATGTATCGGAATCTTTCTACCTTATATGTAGATATGTCGGGAAGACGGACTACGCAGCCAAATCATAAAGCTCGACAGTATCAAGCCCCTGGCACGGAACAAGAAGCAACTTCTCAAACGGATCCAGCTTTCGCGGCGTCGAAGCAAGCCAGTGAGATAAGAACGTCTCGTATGGTATCGTAGTCCCACATCCCTGGTGCGAATGATTGCTCTCTGAGCCCCAGGAGCTAATCGTCGTTGAGAGGGGCAACTTGACTAACGTATGCAATCCAACGCAGATGCCGTCTCTGAAGACCGAGTTGATGCCGTAGAGGAAGTATACCACGATGGCAGTTCGACGAACACACTCTGCAAGAATCCAAGTCCGCCAGTTGCCGGCCTCGCTGTCTCCGAACTCGGTCTGAGATCGGGAAAGGAGTTTTAGGGCCATGGTCATTACAAGGCTCTGTTGTTGCTCGGCCATAGAGCGCTGTCCGAGTCCGCCGTGGAAGAATCGGATAGTCTGGTAGAAGACAAATGCCTGTAGCCTGGCCAATTCTTCTAGGATCTCTGTGTTATGTGAAGGTTTGAGTAGCTCGAGGACCTCGGCGTCGATGATGCGGAAGAGCAGCTCCTGGTTGGTCTCGGAAGTGAGGCACTGGTTTGATGAGAGGCCATATGCTGCGCGGATAGCTTGTGGTAGGGAGTCACGGTACAGCTCCCTATGGAGGAAGATTGCCTCCCCGCGCTGGGCAAATTCTCGAGGGTAGCTCTTGAGCTCGTTGATCACCCACTGCCAGGCCGGCATACTACTTTGGATTGGCTGCACTTCTCCCAGGGAGCCCAGATAGATGTGTATACTTGGCGATGTTGGTGCGCCTGCAGGTACAACGCTTGACCGTGAGATGCCAGAGGTAGATTGGCCTAGGCTTGGAGTGGTGTCATCCTCGGAGAATTGTGCGTTATGACCGAAGAAATCGGGGAAAGCATCCGCATCAAAAAGAGAGTCAGGCGTCGAGTTATCTATCGCTTCCAGAAGCTCAGTCATAGAGCAATTTCCCGTAGACATGGATGGACTGGCGGTCTGAACAGTGGTCGACTCCGCGGCACTCCGCGTCTGCTGTATTGGTGGGTAAGCATAGTGGCAGATCTTCCTAGTCTTTCGACAAGTCGCGCAGGTCGGATAGCCAAGGTCGCACTTCCGACGCCCTTTAAAGCAGGCATCGCATGACTTCCGTCGCAGTGACATTGTGCTGGGAAATGTAGAGGTTGCTGACAAGGGTGGAGGGGGCGGAAATCCAGAACTTAAGTCAGGTTTATGCTTTGAAATCACCTCGGAGACTTTGTGCGGACTTTATGCATTCTTGCTCGAAGATGGACAACCCCAGAGTTGTATACGGCCTAGATCATAATTATTTGAAGAATAAACGTAAACTTAGCAGATGAATGCATATGCTTGGTATTAACCGCTATCTATGGCCAACAACTCTAGCCTCTCATGGCGCCTCATAACCGGCCAAGTGGTAGATGCGCGTACACAACCCGGCCAATTCTCTATTGGTCTAGTATCGCCGACTTGTAGGCGTCGTATTCCTGAGACTTGTGCCGTTGAGTACGTTCCCGGGGATCCCATTCATGTCTCTAGCGGCCACGCGCACCATCAACATCTCCCTCAACGGAGACACCAGGTCATCTAGCGCAAGACAGAGATCGCCGGTTTCCGGAAGCACATCCCTCTGGAAGACACGGCTGGTGTTTATGCGAGCCAGGTGCTCAACGTCACGGGCATTGGCCCACGAGTGCGAGTGCTCCAGCTCGGCAAACATTCGGGACACCGCCGGCTTCCACTTGGGACTTTCTTTGGATTCAGGCGGCATGCGGATCTGGTACTTGCTGAGGAGTTTCTCAAGGTATTCGAGGCAGGTCTGCGGAGGCATAGATGGGAAATGGATCTCGGTTGGGAAGCGAGATCGAAGGCCTGGGTTTACACGCAGTAATCTGTCCATATCTTCAGGGTAGCCCGCCATGACGATGACCATTTTTCGAGCGTAGCGAGGCTTCGTCATGCTGTCGACGAGCTCGCCTATTGCTTCCCGGGTGTAGCTAGTGCCGACATTGCTACCGGAGTGCGATGCACCGTCAGCTAGGCGGTAGGCCTCGTCTACGAATAAGACCTTGCCCAACGCGCGTTCTAGTAATGCAGTCACCTTGGGTCCTGTATGGCCTAGATACTCGCCGATCATCTGGGTTGCTGAACACTCGATAACTTCAGTCGTGGATAGAAAGCCCATTTCATAGAATAATTCACCAATAGCACGAGCGACGGTTGTCTTTCCTGTGCCGGGGGAGCCTTTGAATATAAAAGCAAAGGGGATATGCTCTCGAGGACTGATTCCACGTCGGCGCATCCCAATGGCAGTTCTTTGATAGTTGCGGAAGGTGGTGTATAGATTCCCCATGCCTAGAAGCCCAGAGAAAAGGGATTTGCAGGTCTGGTCTGCATCGAATATCCGGTTGTATTTCGGGTCAAAGTCCTGAGGCTCGAGGCAAACGGGAACGTTGCAGTCATAGTCCTCGGCTCTTGATTGGTAAGATAACATGGCTCGACTAAGCAAGTTTTCCACATCGCCGCCATTACCAAAGTTGGAACGGTGGCTTGCCAGAGCAAGCATCTCATGGGCCACTTTTTTGGCCTCCTCAGTGGCTATAGCTTCGTCTCGGGCCATTTTCAGATCTAAGATCTCTATTAGTTGCTCTGGCCTGTAGTCGGAAAGTCGAATGGCGGTGTCCAAGGGAAAGCGCCGTTTCAAGCCAGGGTTGCTATTCAGGAGGAACTCCTCCATGAGGTCTTCATAGCCAACCAGGATGACGCATCGCTTATCTGAGGGTTGGTTTTGGATGATCCCGACCAGGGTATCAACAACAGCACGACGATGTTGGTCACTGTCATTTGTGCCTTGGGTACTCTGTTGATAGAGCATATGAGCGTCATCAATTATGAGGACCATCCCTTCAGTGTCCTTGAGAATGTTCTTCGTAGCTTCCTCCGAATGGCCCACCCACTCTCCAATAAAGTCAGTCGGAGTTTTGACCACGACTCCCGTAAGGGAGACGAGTCCAAGCTCTCCAAGGATCCGACCATAAAGCTTGGCTACCGTTGTTTTTCCTGTCCCGGGAGGGCCCATAATGACTTGGTTCAAGGTCAAACCGATGGGCACTTTCCCCTGATGCTGTCGATGCCGATTTGTATCAACATGGCGCACCAGCCGCTCAACCGACTGCTTGACACTCTCAAGGCCGACCATACCCTGCAGCTCTTTCCAGGATGGACTGTTTTCGCGTGAAAACTGCTTCGGGCCCGGCCCTAGAAGGTCTTCCCTTGTGAGGAAATGGTAGTTTGGTGGTCTTCGCTTCGGATGTGCTGTGCTGGACTGTTGCTGGAGCCTAGTAGCCTGACGTTGCAGAGCCTGCTCAACCTCTGTCGTTATACCTCGATTGACAGTAAGCTCACTACTGTCATTGCTGCCACCAATCCTCTTCGCCACGGTCAAGAGCGCTTCGGAGTAGAGCCCTCCTTCAACATGTAGATTCCGCTTTTCCAGCGTCTTCACTAAAAGCCGGTAGACTCGGGATTCTTCGTCGTCATCCAAAGTCATTCGACGCGGGAACTGCCAGCGGGTCTCATTTGAGTCGCCGAAATCTCTAGCGGGAGCAGTCATAACCATGACAGTCTTGCCAAGTCGATCTTCCCTGAGACTCGGAAAGGTGCCTATACTGGGAGGAAACCCCACCCACGAGCAGCTCCTATGGATGAGGAAAACTTTGGAACTGACAACTGGATGATCCGCAGAAGCACTTGACGTTGAAGATGACTCGGACGCCTCATATCGGTGATAGTCCTCGATTGATGTCCACCAAGATTCGTTTCCGTCCAGCTCGCGACCGGCGGTACGGGGAACAAGGTCAAAACAAGACAGAAGCTCCGCATAGAGCCTTGCGACCGCTTTCTGCTCTGTATCACGTAGTTGTAAGTGATAAGCTGACTCTTCTCTGTGGGAGTGGTGTACGTACCAGTTTCCGGCCCTCCTAGGATGAGCAAATTCGGTTTAAGTGCTTTGAGGTCCTCGCTTCGCGCTTTACCAGCTTCGATTCGAGCTTTTATAGATAGAAACTGCTTCTTGACGTCTTCATGTCCACTCAAACACATTACCCGGTTAAGCACTTTCACAATATGGCGCTGCTTTCTGTCCAAAGGCTCCTTGAGCTTTCGTTTTTGATCAAGCCATTCTAGGCGCGATGGGGAGCTGTCCGGTATAGAATCCACTTTTTCGTCAAGACCCTCAAGTTCACTATAAGTAAATTCTATGTCTTCCTTCTCCTTGTCGGTGCTCGCAGGCGTAGGCTCCCAATCGTCGAACACAGACCACCACTCCTTTGGAAGGTAATTGACCACCGCGTCTTCATAGTCAGTCTCGTCATCGTCGCTATCGCGGTTTTTGCTATCGTCGCTTTTGTCATCGTTTTTATGTTCATCCTGATTCCCGCCTTCCGGTGGCTGCTCAACTGTATCCGTAGAGCTTTTGTCATCATGACCCTTCTCGTCATTGTCGTTGCGCTGCTCCATAATCCCGTCGTCCAGGGATCGTGTAAATGCATCCGTCGGCTTCATCTCCTTGTTCACCTCATGGTCAGAGCCCTCTTCAATAGCCCGTGAACTCCCAGCATCATCCTCAATCGCGGTAGAGGCTGTAGCCAAAGGCTCCGGCTGGTTCTCAAGCAAGACCGTCGAAGCCGTCTTCGAAATCGGTGTTAGTCAGTGTGAGTTTTGTGTACAAATTGAGTAATACTCACGCCTATGTTGCCATTTGTGAGACCGGATTGATCCATCTTGGTCGACGCTAGACCCTCAGAGGACGTATATTCAATGACCAGCATTGTGAGGGGTTAAGAGGTGATAATTTTCAAGCTGACATGCGAAGGCCTTGTGCCTCCTATTGTACCCCTCAGTTGGAGGGCTGGTTGTTGAGACGGCGTGAGGGGCTCAGCTCATGAGGCTACGCAAATAATCAAACACAAGGCAGATGCCTAGGACATATTTCTTACCTGTAGTTCTGCAGTCATCATTTGCCTGCAATATTGATAGCCATCTGGGCCAATCATCTTCGAGACTTCGCAATGGCTGCATCTAACCTGCAGATGCTGCCTTTTCCCTGCCTTTAAACGCAATGATCATTGTGTGGAGAGTACTGGTACCTGTTGGTAGCAGCTAATTCCCGCTAGTACAGCTAGTTTGCAGAGATACCTCGATGTGAAATAACGTCAGCTCTCAAGATGGCTGCCCGACGTTTTGAAAGTACGCGGTGGCTGCGGCTGATGATTGAGGCTCTGTCGCCACATCTGAGCAGGGGTGCGGACAAATTGTGAAACATCGCTTGACCTGTTGCATCACAGAGCTGAAGCCAGCGCCGCAGAAGAGGAATAATCCGAGTTGGTCTCCTATGTTTGACGGACAGGTCTTCTGACATCCACCTGGAGCCCATTTCTGGACGCTTCTCCATCGACGCCGAATCATGGCGTTGGTATACGAGGTTTGTCCAAGATGCCCGAGTGGCAAGGGAGCACACTTCTCAAAATAGTGCCATGAACTGACTAAAGAGCGAGTTCTTTGATGCATTTACTAGGAGGGTTTGACTGGCTTGGGGAAAGTGCGGTTGGCGGGATGTATCCAGGAAGTTGATGCCTCAGGCACTAGTTTTGGGGGCCGCGGTTTTGATTTGAAGGCGTATATTGCTGACAAGACTATAAATACGCGTAATCATGGTCAAAATACTGCTGTCGGCTTGATACAGTAGCTTCGGGACGTGTAGATTATGCAATATGTCTATCACGATGCTTTCAGAACCTCTGGAAAGTATGAAGAGATGCCTCGGCTACATCGGCGCGTCGGTATAGATCGCGGCGAACAAACGAGGGGAACAAACGAGGGGAAATCACCATCGAACAACACGAGTTTTATCAATCCTGCCTAGGCTATATTCCAAGTTTCCCTAGAATTGACCAATTACTATCACTCACTCGGATTCCTGCGAAACCCAAAGCCGATCGTTGACTCGCGGCGCGCTACTTTCCAGATATATATTCAAGCCATTCGAAACAATACCACCGAATACACTCCAGGAACATACCATTATCCATGCAAAATCCCAGGGCATCCCAAGAATGACCGCGCAAACAACCCCTGACGCCGACGCCGCCTATTTTCTCACTCACCCCGCAACATCCCCGCTCATAGGCGACAAATCGTATACCCAAATCCCTGGAGGATCAGCGCTCTTCCACGACCCCTTCTTCCGACGAGCCGCACGCACACACTCCGCTGTACTCCGCACCGCATTCATCTTCCGCGCCCTCCCCAACCCGGAGGGCCACCTCCTCATCCAAGTCGGGCACGGTGTCTGCGGGCAATCCGGGGTCGCGCACGGCGGGTTCCTCGCGACGGTGATGGACGAGGTTTCGGGGAACTTGATAGCGAGTACGCGGCTTGATCAGGGGTTGGGAATGTATACGGCCGCGCTGAATATGGGATATAAGCGGCCAGTGCTGGTGGAGGGGTTTGATTTGACCACTGGGGAAGGGGTTGGGGATGGGAGCGGTACTGTGATTGTTGCGACGGCGAGGTTGGCGAGGTTGGAGGGAAGAAAGGTGTTTATTGGGGCAGAAATTAGGGATGAGAGAGGAGAGGTTTGTACGACTGCGGAGTTGATTTTTGTGCAGAAGAAGCCTGTTCCAGTTTTGTGAGTTGCGTCTTGTTCTGGTTCTGTTGTAGACCTGGGTGGAATAGACTGGGTGTGTTTTGGTGAAATTGTTGTATTTCGTTCAGTCTATGATATAGCTTAGATTGGAAACGGCCATTATTTCCCTGTTCCCGGCGCCCTGTACTGTACACCATGACCGTGCTCGTCATCAGCAAACCAGCGGGAGTATCAATGCAACCCGCGTAAACATAACAGTGACTCGACAGTCGAGTCGGATCCATACGCCCCAATGCGGTATATAAAGAGGACAAATCGAAGAAAACCAAGAAGTGATAAGTGAAGTCGTACACGTGTTCCTCTTCCGGCAGGGCAGTTCTCGCTGAAAACACCCTTACACTGATGCTCCAAAGTCATGAGCCTTTCCTTGTACCAAGAGTCCGACGATAAGACCGAAAAGACCCAAGACTGAGCTGAAGATTTCGATGACGAGGATCTTGACGAACCTGTGATAGTTATTAGTGGTTGCCCAAGAGCTGGCCATGGGTTGGAACGAACAAGCTGGGATCAGCAGCATCGGCGAGAGCTGCACCACTCCCGTTGATACCGACGGAGATACCACAAATCAGGTTGCATGCGCCGACCGTGATTCCTCCCCAAAAGAGCGCAAAGCCGGTGTAGTAACTGCTTCCAGAGTAGATTTCATCGCCGGTCACGAGGTTTAGTTTCGAGGAGAAGACAATGGCCATGATGACACCGTAGATAGCGACGACTTCGCAGAAGATAATCGAGATCAAGTTCTTGGTTCGGATTCTGGGGGCCTTGACACCTCCGCCGACAATCGATGAGCCTGTGAGGAAGATACCCCTGAAGACTGTCGTCAGAATATCCAAAACATCTATCCTCAAGCACATGCACGGGAACTATACCATGAAGCACCGACAACGGATAACCCAATGCACATCGCTATACCAAGGTTTGCCCAAGCGTAAGGAGAAACGGACTCAAGGAATTGGCCGACCTAGACCGGGTTAGACGGGTTTCGTAGCATAGTCGGTTGAGAGAGCTGCCCTACATTGAACGCTTCACCTTCTCCATGGAAAAGCATATCTAGAGCCAATTAGCCTATGACCTCAACGGGTTTAGGTAGCCACATACACAATCCGATCACCACCAGTGACGCGGTTGCCAGACCGCCAGGATAAGCGAGACCCATGATGACCCCCAACTTGGTAGACGACGGCGAAGCTGGAGGATCTCTATATCAAACCGCAAGGTCTCAAGACGCCTGCAAAAGAGTTGAAGGGAATGGTCGTGGATTGTTTGTTGGAGCTCTGCTCTGTGATGCGGGTTGAGCTGGAAGCCAGCAAGTCGCAGTGGAGGCCGGGCCGCATTTAATCCGCGCGGCGGCGAGGAGACCTCTGCCTGTTGAGCACTGACCAGTCGGCGTTCTCCATGCAGACTGTATTGCCTGGTTCCCCAGACGTTCCATGGACTAAAGCTTCCTCGTCAATCGACCTTCCGGACAAGTCGCTCACCGTTGGTCTGATCGCAGTTCTCCCAGGCTTCCCTTTATTCCCTTTCTTCCTCTCCCTTCTCTTCGTTGATCTGTTTTATATGATCCTACTTCTTTAATACTCCCATCTCCTATCTGTTCCCCTCCTACCGCCCGATCCCCTATTCTCCATTCATCCTCCCTGTCACCATGTCTTCACCTGCTGGGGTAGGGTCGTATTCGAACCCTTTGAAGAAATTCAAGTATGCTTAATCGATGCACTTACTTGCTAACGAGCGTCGCTAACATGATGCTAGGCTGGTCTTTCTCGGCGAGCAAAGCGGTATGGAGATACTCGGGTCATTCTGATAATCAGTCGCACATCATATTGACATTGAACACGCAGTCGGGAAAACGTCCCTGATCACTAGGTTCATGTACGACTCGTTCGACAACACATACCAAGCAACAATTGGCATCGACTTTTTGTCAAAGGTGCGGCCCGACCCCGCTCCCATTATTGTCATTCGGATATCTGGCCGCTTGCGCAATTACGCTGAGTATACTAATATACCGTGCTCTAGACCATGTACCTCGAAGACCGCACCGTACGATTGCAACTTTGGGATACAGCCGGCCAAGAGCGGTTCCGCTCTCTCATTCCTTCTTACATTCGCGACTCGAGTGTCGCAGTTGTCGTTTACGATATCTCAAACGCCAAATCCTTCCAGAACACGCGAAAGTGGATTGACGACGTACGGGGCGAACGTGGAAGCGACGTCATCATCGTGTTGGTGGGCAACAAGACCGATTTGAGCGATAAGCGCGAGGTCACAACAGCGCAGGGTGAGGAGGAAGCGAAGAAGAATGGTTTGATGTTTATCGAGACTAGTGCAAAGGTTGGCCACAATGTCAAGCAGCTATTCCGAAGGATAGCTCAGGCTCTGCCGGGAATGGAGGGAGAGGCCAACCGAGGAGAAAGCCAGAGTTCGTCCCCCGCCCCGTCATTTGGGTTTCTTCGACAGTTTACTGACCGTACTACAGTGATTGACGTTAACATCCAACCCAAGGAGACGACGAGCAATGAAGGATGCGCCTGCTGATTGTGCATCAGCTGTTCCACGGTTATCAGATCTCAACAACGATGATGCTTGAGACTGTTTATAATATCTGTCATTCTTAAGATGTACATTTTCCTTGCTCATCACTTGACTAGCGAGTCTAGATCAATGCTGTTTCGAAATCGTCGCTCTTGCTCTTACTTTCGCAAATTTGAAGGTTTATTGGAGGACGGCGTTCTGCTCGCGCACAGCATCTCAGTGTCTCCTTCTTGGGCTCGTTTTCGTTAGTAATTTGGCTGCTTCCTTACTTTGCACTTGATATACCAACCGGTTATGCTACACATGATTATGTTTCAGGCATATTCTACCAGAAGTAGATTTGAACTTGAAGAATTCGGCAACGTTTTCCATCGTAGGCAGTATCAAGAGCCAAACCATCCCGCAAGTCTATCGATGGATGCATTTTGATGAATTGTGACGCCTAGCCAAATGAACAAGGCATCCCATTTGGACAAAATCTTCCCTTGGAATGCCATGCCCATGATGGAGACGGCATTGAAGATGCCTACGGATACCTCCATCAAAAAGTACGACTCTCCAGCAACACAGCTTTGAAATTCAGGTGGCTGAGATGACCCACTACTTACTCCGTCGAGGCGCACGCTGAAGATGCGGCCACTAAAAGTCGTCATCGTTCCTGAATTGGAAACGAATACGACGGAAGAGCTTTTGGTCCTGGCCGAGAGCTGTCGGGACGGAAAAGGAGGGTCATGATGAAGGTATAAAGCCCCTGGTTTTGCAATAATTCTCATGTCATCACACGACAGAAGCGTCAAGTTGCTTCAGTTGTGACGAAATAAAAGGGCAAAAGATCGCCCGGGGCGGAGTGACCGGAAGCCGCACCCCTGTAAGCGCTGGTCATTGGGCCTCTTCAACCTCAGCCTATTTTTCTTCCCCCAGCTCCTCTTCTTTCATTGTCCTGCCACTCCTCCCAACTTTTACTCCTTTTCACCTGTACGTTCTCAGACCCGATCTTTCGATATCCCAGTGGGCGATATCCAAGATGGGTTTGTCGACTCGTTTCCTCCGCATTCCGCGGCCAGAGGTATGTTCTTGGTTCTTCTTCCCTCCCGTCAGCCGGATCGGTCGCTAATGGATTATTACCCCGACGACGGGGTGCTCACAACAGTAGACTTTTCTCTACGTGATGAGCCTACAGACAGGCGCCTCCTTGATCACTTTGTCGCTACTTCTCAACAAAATTAGCGGTCTCTATGGCATGCTCGCCTTGCTGACCGGCTACCACCTATCGCCAGTTCAGCTGTCGATGTACCTCTACTCCTTGATCGCGCTTGTCCTCACAGTCCTCCTCTTCCCACACATCCGAAAGCAGTCTCCTTTACAATGTCTTGCGCTCGCCTGGTTATATGTCTTTGACAGCCTCATCAACGCTGCTTACACCGCTGCCTTCGGCGTGACGTGGTTCCTCGTTATCGCTCAACACACCGACAATGAGAAAGCATCCGGTCCGGGAAGCGACACAATGGGTCAGACAGCCGGATTCACCGGCTCCGAGTACGACGCCGCTACGATGCAAGCCGGGAACTACCATGAGTCGAGGAGCGCGGATAAACTCGGCAATGCTGTCACTCAGCCAGAAAGCTTCCAGAGCATCCTTTTCATTTGTGCGCTATGGTCGATTCGTATCTACTTCGTCTTTGTCATGCTCGCCTTTGCCCGCCAGGCCCTCCGACTATACGTCGCCATCCCCCGACACACTCAATTGCCCACCCACAGCCGCAATACCTCTGTCGCTAGTATGGCCAGCGTTGCCGACATCGACCGCGAGCTCTTCTCTCCATACAGCCCTGACGGCCAAGGCTGGAAAGGGAAACTCGGCCGTCTGATGATTAGCGTCGGTAAGAACTACTGGCTTGGCGAGGAGGACGATGGCAATTGGGTCAGCATGGATCATCGGTTCCGTCCTGCTGGGACGTCGAGCGAACTTCCCGGTCCTCTCGAACGTGAACGACGCCGACGATCCGGCACCGGACCACCCGCACCCTCCCAGGCGGCTGTTCAAGCGGCCTCTCTGCAGCAACCCGCACGCGAACCGACTCCTCATTTGACTGTGAAGGTACACGACTGGGCGGACACCAGGTGATTCGTGGTCCTTCGACTTGTTCTCGACAATTGGATAATAGAGCTCTGTTTGCCGACGCTTTGGCTGCGCGATAATCGCATTTGCTCTTTTGTGCTAGATACACTGCATACTTGGTTCGCGATTTGGTTTATATATGCCCTGATGATATACATAGCCTGGTTATGAGTCGGCTGGCGGTGGGCTGCGTGGTGGGAATGCCATTTTCAGATCCCCGTCTGTCTCTCACGGTCGCCGCTCTTGGGAAAGGGTGAGGCGTTGGGTCTCGGATTCGTGTTAATTGCTTTGAGTCACGGGGAGACCTGAAGGAATCGATTTGGCCTCCTGGGGGCGAGAGAGTCCCCAAGGTCCTGGCGTCTAAGACATGTACATGGATATGACATTGATATGGTTTGAATTTCCTGTGTACGGCGTTGGAATGGATCTATACTCATCCCATGTTGCTCTCTCATTCATCCTAATGAACATACACTACTGTGACCTTGACATGAGAACTCTCCAAAAGTCCAAGTTGACCCGTAGCCGCGGATAATATCACCAGATCCAGACCAATGGGGTCGGCGTAATATCGGCGAGAAATCCAGCTGCTTTAGCCTCTGCCCTCGTCACGGGAACCCCGCACGTTACCTGAACAGGTATGTTTGTCTCAAAGACGACAGGGTGTTTGCATCGATGTCGTGATCGAAGACCAATCACTGATTCGCTGATCAAATACCGATGGCGGAGAAAGGCTCGAAAAAGTCCCTGTCATGGCCTTGCCCGCATTGGAGTTCACGGTGTTTGAGGAGAAAAAGGCAGCGAACTGAAAAATTATTATACGACGCTGCTGCGCTTCTCTTCTTCTTCTTCTCTTCCCTCTCTCCTCCACGCTCCCTCCATTGACTTGACTCTTTGCACGGAATCGCCGTATGCGGTGATATCCAATCCCCTCGCACTTCTACTTCATCCCACATTCTGCGAGTTCCCGCAGTGCGGCCGGCAGCTGCCAACATGGCCCCCGTTGCTACCGCTGGAGAGGCCGGTAAATTTCCCTCTTGACTCCTATCCTTTTGGAGAACTGTTCTTTTCTCCTCTGCTCGTTTTTGCGATGCTCTATTTCCGGGTTCAATTGGCTAACTCGATATAGTGGCGAGAATCGCCTACCAGGCTAGCGATATCGTCCTCTCGGTTCAACCATCGCTTCAGACCGACTCATTGTTCTCAAAAACTCTCAAGAGTCTGAAGTCTGGCAATACCCGCAATGCGCTGACTGAGAGTGTTCCAGAGGTGAGCAGATCGAGCCTATGGATTATGCGATTATTCATCTAACCCTACCTCTAGGTTGTCTCCGTTCGTTACAACGAGGACCCTCTGCTCTCCGCTTTCCACCCCCTCCAGACCGGAAAAGTCGTCTCCGCTGTGACCAGCTCATCTACCCTGCTCTCCTCTATCCCCCACCTCTACCGCCTGGCCAATGCCCCCGTTGTCATCCATGTCGCATTAGAACCGTCCCCATTCCCAGACTACTCGTCTATCAGCTCAATCCGGCAATGCGGCTTCACATTCCTGCACTCGGAGACTGTGCAAGAGGCTCAAGATATTGCGATCACGGCTCACGCTCTCGCTCGCAAGTCTGGCAAGGGTGTCATCCATTTCTTCGACCCCGCCAACTCCGCCAACGACGAGGCGATTGAGCAGGAAGATGTGAATGTGTTCAAGTCTCTCCTCGATCTGAGCGGCAGCCCTGTCTCGCACACCGAGGGGCACGGCGTCAACACCCTTTACACCAGCTCCGGCCGCGTTGCCACTGTCACTGAGGAGGCTGTTGAGAGCGCTCCCGCTGCTGAGGGAACCGCCACCCCTACACAGACTGCCGCGACCCCTTCGAGTCGCAGCACTGACAACTCGTCCGTGGGTTCTTCGGAGCGTGACAGCAGTGTCGACAGCCGCGCCACCAGCTCAGCTGCTACCACAGTCGATGGCTCATTCGTTCGGCCAGTGACATCTGCCGATATCTTCTCATGGACTAGCCAAATCTGGCAGATTCTGTCTGAGCGTGTTGGACGCAACTACCGCGCTATCGAATATACTGGCCCGGCTGATGCCAAGTCTGCCATTTTCGTCTTCGGTTCAACCGGAGTTTTTGTTGATGTTCTTGGAAAGGAGGGTGTTCCTGCTGAGCTCGCCAGCATTGGTCTCATCACCGCGCGCCTGTACCGCCCCTGGGTCGGCTCCGAGATCGCCAACTCGATTCCCCAGTCCATTGAGAAGATCGCCGTTCTAGAGCAGGTCCGTAAGACTACGAGATGGGGTCCTTCTTTCATGGATCTCTTGTCGAGCCTCACTCCCGCCGCCGCTGGCGGACGCAGCCCCCAGATTGTTGGCTACAGACTCGGCTATGTTGAGCCCTCCACCGCAACTCAGGCTCTCCGCGGCATCGTTCAGAACCTGAGCTCTTCCTCCCCTATCCAGAACCTCGAAATCGGTAGCGCCAAGATCCCTACCCTCGAGACATCGCTTGAGCAGCCCCGCATCGAGAATGCCTACCTGAAGATCCTCAACCAGCTCTTCGGGGAGCGTCTGTACCTTGCTAACCAGCTCGGTTCCAAGAATGCCGGCATTTCCTCCACCATTGCTGCAAGCCCCGAGTACGGTTTTGGTTCGTTGATTGCCAGAAAGGAGCACCGCCAACGCTTCATTAGCGAGGTCGAGGCTGCGTCCAAGTCCAACACTTTCGCTACTGAGGTGGTTAAGAAGTGGCTCGCAGACTGGGCATTGAACGCCACAGATGCCACCAAGGCCAACAACTTGGCTCCCGATGTGATTGCTCGTCTCACCACCGATGGTTCTTCGCTGTCCAAGCAGCTGTTGGAGACTAGGAAGCTCTTCTACAGCGAGTCTCAGTGGCTCATTGGTTCCGACGCCTGGGCTTATGATCTCGGTAACTCCGGTGTCCACCACGTTCTTGCCTCTGGTGCGGACGTCAACATGCTCGTCATCGACTCTCAGCCCTACTCTGAGCGGACCGCTGCCGATCCTACCCGCCGCAAGAAGGACATCGGTCTGTACGCTATGAACTATGGCAACGCCTACGTCGCCTCTGTCGCTGTGTACAGCTCCTACACTCAGGTTCTCCAGGCCATGGCCGAGGCCGAACAGTTCAAGGGTCCCTCCGTCGTCGTTGCTTACCTCCCCTACAACCAGGAGAATGACTCCGCCCTCACTGTTCTCCAGGAGACCAAGAAGGCTGTCGACCTTGGCTACTGGCCCCTGTACCGCTGGAACCCCGCTAATGAGGAGCGCGGTGAGCCCAAGTTTGCTTTGGACTCTGAGCGCATCAAGCGCGAGCTTGAGGAATTCCTGCGTCGGGACAACCAGCTCACTCAGCTCATGAACCGCCAGCCCAACTTCTCCTCTGTTCTCTCCGAGTCTTACGGCACTGAGGTTCGCACCATTCAGAAGCGCAAGGCCAAGGACTCCTATGAGAAGCTCCTGGAAGGCCTCTTCGGCGCTCCTCTCACCATTCTCTTCGCCTCCGACAACGGCAATGCTGCTACTCTCGCCAAGCGCCTAGGTAACCGCGGCCGTGCTCGTGGCCTTAAGACCCTGGTCATGGCTATGGATGACTACCCTCTCGACGACCTGGCCACTGAGGAGAATGTTGTTTTCATCTCCAGTACCGCTGGTCAGGGTGAGTTCCCCGTGAACGGCCGTGCCCTTTGGGAACACGTCAAGAACTCTGGTGACCTCGACCTGTCCACCATCAACTACTCCGTCTTCGGTCTCGGTGACAGCCACTACTGGCCGCGCAAGGAAGACAAGATCTACTACAACAAGCCCGCCAAGGACTTGGACGCTCGCATTGCCTTCCTTGGAGGTCGCAAGCTGACAGACATTGGTCTCGGTGACGACCAGGACCCTGATGCTTTCCAGACCGGCTACTCTGAGTGGGAGCCCCGCCTTTGGCAAGCTCTTGGTGTCGACAAGGTTGAGGGGCTTCCTGAGGAGCCCGCTCCCTTGACAAACGAGGATATCAAGATCGCGTCCAACTACCTCCGTGGTACCATCGCCGAGGGGCTTCTGGACGAGAGCACCGGCGCCATTTCCGCAAGCGACCAGCAGCTCACCAAGTTCCACGGTACCTACATGCAGGATGACCGTGACGTTCGTGATGAGCGCAAGGCCCAGGGTCTCGAGCCCGCCTACAGCTTCATGATTCGTTGCCGACTCCCCGGTGGTGTCGCTACCCCGTCCCAGTGGCTCCAGATGGATGCCATCAGCAGCTCCCACGGTAACGAGACCATGAAGCTCACGACCCGTCAGACCTTCCAGTTCCACGGTGTCATCAAGCGTAACCTCCGTGGCGCCATGCGCGCTATCAACAAGGCTCTCATGACCACCATTGCCGCCTGCGGTGATGTCAACCGTAACGTCATGTGCAGTTCTTTGCCCGAGCTTTCATACTACCACCGTGAGGTGCACGCTGTCTCGAAGAAGATCAGTGACCACCTTCTCCCTTCCACCACCGCCTACCACGAGATCTGGCTTAAAGATGAGAATGACAACAAGGTCCAGGTCGCTGGTGATGCTGTCGTCGACCACGAGCCCCTCTACGGTCCTACATATCTTCCGCGCAAGTTCAAGATCACCATCGCCATCCCCCCTCACAACGACACTGATGTCTATGCTCATGATATCGGTTTGATCGCCATCAAGGGCGCTGACGGACACTTGGAGGGTTTCAATATCCTCGCTGGTGGTGGTATGGGCGCCACTCACAACAACAAGAAGACCTACCCTCAGACTGGCCGCATGTTCGGTTACGTCCCAGCCGACCAGGCTCACATTGTCTGCGAGAAGATCATGCTCGTCCAGCGTGACTTTGGTGACCGCAAGAACCGTAAGCACGCCCGTCTGAAGTACACCATTGACGACATGGGCGTCGAGGCCTACAAGGAGAAGGTCGAAGCTCTCCTTCCCGAGGGTCTGCGCTTCGCTGAGCCCCGCCCCTTCAAGTTCGCCTCGAACGTCGATACCTTCGGCTGGCAGAAGGACGAGAAGGGTCTCAACCACTTCACCTTTTTCATCGAGAACGGTCGTATCGAAGACACCGCCGAGTTCCGCATGCGCACTGGTCTCCGTGAACTGGCCTCGCTTGACAAGGGAGAGTTCCGCCTCACCGGTAACCAGCACTTGATCCTCTCCAACGTCGAGGACAAGGACCTCCCTGCTATCAAGGAGCTGATGGCCAAGTACAAGCTCGACAACACCGCCTTCAGCGGCATGCGTCTGTCGTCCTCTGCCTGTGTCGCCTTCCCCACTTGCGGTCTCGCCATGGCCGAGTCGGAGCGCTACCTCCCCGTCCTCATCTCGAAGCTCGAGTCCACCCTTGAGGAAGCCGGCCTCGCCCGCGACAGCATCGTCATGCGTATGACTGGTTGCCCCAACGGCTGCGCCAGACCCTGGCTTGCTGAAGTCGCTTTCGTCGGAAAGGCGTACGGCGCGTACAACATGTACCTGGGTGGTGGCTACCACGGCCAGCGTCTGAACAAGCTCTACCGATCGTCCATCAAGGAGGACGAGATCCTCGATATCATGAAGCCTCTGCTCCGCCGGTATGCCCTCGAGCGCAACACCGACGGCGAGGAGCCGGAGCGGTTCGGAGACTGGTTGATTCGCGCTGGTGTCATCAAGGAGACTACCGATGGACGCAACTTCCACGAAGGAGTAAGTGCACTCACTCCTCCATAATCTCATAAAGCCACTTCACTAACATCGTTTCTAGGTCGCTGAGGAAGAAGAGGATGAGGAGTAAACGAATTGCACATAGATAAAAGGTGGTCACCGCTCTTGTTGTAAAGCTCTCTTGCATATATGCTGTGTCATGATTGTCATGTTTATGTTTTTTGCGTTGTTGGCTTAGATTGTGGAATTCCCTGTTACGTTCTCATGATGATCTGACTGTTGGATATACCATTGTTGAAAAATTCTGTTTATCAATACCATTTATTCTTGATATATATTTTACCTCGCCTCATTGAGCTACATCCTTAGACTCGACATCGTGGGCCTACTAAGCGAGTAGCCATTGAGACCTACCATTGATGATGCATGTTGGCTTCATTTATGACCCCTGTTGGCCTTACCGTAAATCTTTTCAACTTAACAGCTCCAGGGTTCAGACTTTCATCTGTGCTGTTGATGGAAGAACTCTGTATAGGCCGCAATGCACAAGTTAGCCCGCTGACTAACCCGGCATAATTTTCACTTTATGCCGAGGCAGACGCGGTGAGCATCCAAAAACTTTCTGCAATCTTATCGCTCGGTGATTCAAGCTGCGAAAAAGAAAAAGAAGACAAACCACGAGCTTCAATTCCTCCCTCACAATCACAATTTACATGAAATGCCCTGCTTATAACCGATATCATTCCTCTTAACCTAACTCACCAATCAAGTCTCTACATATCCAACAACCCTACACAAAATGTCCCGACCACCATCCCGAACCCCAACCCCCACCTCCCCCTCAAGCACCACAGACTCCGACCCCATAATCGCCTCGTACGACATCTACCTCACAGAATCCGACATCTCGCGGTACGTCCTGCAATACCTCGACCGCCCAACCGGCCACGCATACGACGACAACAACGGCCAGAAGCCCGTCGCGTTCCGGCAAAAGACCAAGACGGGGCTTGTGGAGGTCGATGTGCCCATTAATACGCGGGTGAACTATGATCTGGGGAAGGGACTGCGGTTTGGGGATGCGTTGAGGAAGAGTCGGAGTGCGAGGGAAGGCGGTGCGTATGGGATGGCTGGTGGGTTTAGTGTTGGTGGGGGCAGTGGCGGTGGGAGTGCGGCGCAGGGGAAGGTGAAGAGTGAGGAAGGGCAGGGGAAGGGGTATGGGAGTGCCGGTGGTGGTAGCAATGAGGGGACGGAGGCGTCGTTGTTGAAGGTGCAGACGCTGGGTGGGCGGATTAAGAGTCCTGAGGATGGGGATCCCGTTTATATGCTTGCGGCTTTTCGAGGGGGTGAGTGTGCTCTTTTCTTTATTACATTGCGGGACTTTTTTTGCATTAGAAGTTTGGTGGGATCGTTGCACTGACAGGCTCGTGTGTTTACAGATAAACTACACCTTTCTCCGGTTACCGCGGTCGTGCAGTTACACCCCCAGCTGCACCATCTTGATGCGATGGACGAGATGCCCAAAGCCCGAGGTGGAAAGGGGCGCAAGGAAGGCGAGGAAGACCGACCCGAGCCCGAGGCGCGAACCATCGATGTGAAGGTCAAGGGAGCAGAAGATAGAGAGGTCCAGGTTGCAGGGAACCTTGAGCTGCTGAAGCAGATGCAGGACGAGCAATGGAGGACATATGATTGGGTTGACGCTGAGGTATGGTTCAACTTTCCTTGTTTTTCATTCTTCTGGGACAAAGGGCAGTTCAGGTTACTGACGGTGCGCAGAACGAGGAATCATGGCAGATCTACGACAACTATATGATGCACCAGGATGTGGAAGAGCTACCACAGCTCGAGTCGGCGATCAACAGCGAGGATTATCTGGATAAGATGAGTGCGCCGCGGATTGACCCAGCTCGACCGGAGATGACTGGCTGGGCGATGAAGCAGAATCGGCTGAAGCAAAAGGGCGTCGAGTCGTCAGGGAGCAGCACGGAGGAAGGATAAAGAGCTCTGTAGTAGAAATGAACATGTTTGACTGATCAGTGCATCTGTCCTCCGGCCATTGTCGCCCTCGAGTCCGTGGACCTAGTTCGTACTCCAGAGTAGTCGACTGATCAACTTGAATTTTGTTGTCTGAAAGTGGAGCACGAACGAGAAAAGATCGATAGTCCCGCGCGAGTCGCGACGCTCTCGCCCCACTTGTGGGCCAATGGAAGGCGGCAACTGTTCCATAGTCACGTGAAACTCACCCTTTTCGGGGATTGAGTATTTTTCATCCGAGATTCTTCCAGTTGCGCATGTTCCCTCCCTTTCCTGCAGCTTTTTCGCCTCTCTTTCCCCTGTTCTATATTCCCTATTCTTTCCTTACTTTGCTTGTGCGCTGGTCGGGAAAGAGTGTAGGAAATTTGTCAGTCTGGATTGACGAATTCCTGCAAGAAGGGCGTCCACTCGTCGCTCTCGCGTGGTCGATTTTGTTCAGCATTTGCATAGCATTTTGTCTTTTATTTTATGCACATTCTCTTCTCTGTCTTATATTTGACAATCCTTCTTCTGTCCGGATCATATAATATTTGTTTTAATTCTTATTTGCGCTGCGCTGTGCATCATGCTCTCGCAGCTTGTTCGCCAAAGAAGCGCCGCGGCGCAGCTTCGACTACTGAAAGGCCGCTCGCTCCTCCAATCATCGACAAAATCTCGCCATCATTTCAACTCCAGTCGACTGGGTTCATTATCATATTCTTCCAGCAATGCGTCCACAGAAAGCTCTCCCCGTCGTCCCTCTTTCCAGTCAAGCCGGACCCTTGCCACTGCTACAGACAACCACCTGACCGTCGACGGAAGCTCCTTTCTCTCAAACACCAATACGATCCTCGAGGATAGTGAATACAATCCTGACTTTGGACACAGAGTTTGGGGACGTAAATCGTGGGGTACGAAGGATGAGTACTTTCCATCGGCTGATCCAAGTTCTCTCGTCATCCTGGAGGAGTTCTTGCTCACCACACCAAAAGTGGCGAGGAAGGTCAAAGGCGTCGGAGGTGATGAACGGGAGATGCTGGCGAACTTTCAGCTGTCGCTCAGGGTTTTTCAATTCGACCGAGCTAGCAAACTCCTCACTCGCTTGAGAGAGTATTATCCTATCCACTCCTCTGGCTATCTGGATCTTCATAACAAGTTTCTGGAAGCTATGGTATCTCACGCCATTGATACTGGGAAGCAGGAGTTGGCATTGCAAGTTCAGAGATGGTTTGAAGTGGACATGCCTTATGGCGATGTTAAGCCGAATGGGACGACTTTCGCAATCATGATTCACCTGGCGCTCCGGATGCTCAGTAACACTCAGCGCGATAGAGCCGTTCGTCGGTATTGGTCTTTTGCGAAAGGGGCAGATCTGGAAGAAGAAGTTTTGGCTGACCCCGTCCTTTCCGAACGCGAGCTTGGACTGTTGTCGGAGGTTTGTGACCTTTCACCTTTTTGAGCCCCAAGGTCAACACACACTAACTCCATCTGTCTAAATATTAGATCTGTTCCGCAGACCTCCAACGAGTTGCCATTGACAGCATGGAATTTCGAACAAGCCAGAGTGATGGACCACCGATTCCCGATGTTACCCCCGTCAGACCCACCGCACAGCTAGGATCTGGTCTTTCCACTTTAAAGGAGTCGATAGCCATGTTTTCATCCGCTATTGTTCCTGTGAAAGCGGATTCAGCCTCTGTGGAAACCACCGAGCTTTACAATCAACGCCGACAAGAACAACTTGAAAAAGATGTGATGCGATCGGCCCTTAAACGCTGGGAAGATGATATGGAAACCTTCAAAAAGGTCAATCCTAATGCTCAGATTCACAGCAAGCAACTGGGCCCTCTTCTGTACGAGTGGCAGCAAAGACTCACAGAAAACATCAGGGAGGAATTGAAGCTCGTTAATGAAGCGCAAACGAACCCTATACGGACCCAGCAACAAAAAGATCGGTGTGAGTACGGTGTGTATTTGCACGTGTTTGATCCAGAACGACTGGCATCATTGACCATCCTCGCTGTTATGGGCTCTCTCATCCGTCAGGGCCTGGATAAAGGGATAAAACTCTCCGTCCTAGTGTCGATGATTGGAAATGATCTGTACGACGAACTTATGGCCAGCAAAGCCCTAGAGGCACATAAGAACGCCGGAGCGAGCAAGGAACGTTTGAGTCAAATGAAGAAAATGCTCCACGGGCGTAAGATGAAGCAGAACGAGGACCAGTGGCGATATCTGCTGCAAAAAATGGAGAAAGGTGATCCGCTCGTGGCCTGGCCTTCATCTGCCAAGGCTCAAGTTGGAGCTGTACTGCTGGGTTTGCTCTTTGAAGCTGCGAAAGTTTCCGTTCGACATAGTGGGCCCGACAAGGAGTCGGCCAGATGGACCAAGCAGCCTGCCTTCCAGCACTCGTATCAGATCAACTGGGGCAAGCGAAATGGATACGTCCATGTCCACCCTGCATTTGTCAAGCTCGTTTCCAGGCAGCCATCCCTGGAGTTGCTTGGTCGCCGCCTGCCAATGATTTGCAAACCTCGACCGTGGACTGGGTTCACTGATGGTGCATACCTCTTGCACAGTGACAGAATAGTCCGTACCACTCCTGGCGAGAGCTTGCAACCCAGGTATGTCCAGGCCGCATTGCAGAACAACGGACTTGAGCAGATACGTCAGGGGCTGGACATTCTTGGCACCACTGGATGGAACATCAACCGCGACGTTTTCAATGTTCAGCTTGAGGCCTGGAATACCGGAGATCCCATTGCTGACCTCGCCCCTCTTGAACCCAATCTACCCCACCCACCTAAACCGTCGCCCGAGGAGGGCCATCAAGCCATGAGAAAATGGAATGAGAGCGTGCAAGAGATTGAAAACCTACGGAGTGGATACCATTCCCAGCGGTGCTTCCAGAATTTCCAGTTGGAGGTGGCCCGTTCCTACCTTAATGAAACCTTCTACTTCCCACATAACATGGATTTTCGTGGCCGAGCATATCCTCTTCCTCCCTATCTCAACCAAATGGGCGCTGATAACGTAAGGGGTCTTCTTCTCTTTAGCGAGGCGAAGCCGCTTGGGGAAAGGGGTTTGAGGTGGCTAAAGATTCAGATTGCCAACCTTGCTGGGTTTGACAAGGCCAGTCTTTCGGAGCGAGAGCAGTTCGCCATGGACAACCTGGACGACATTATCGACTCTGCAAACAACGGTCTTCATGGCCGGCGCTGGTGGCTCAAGGCTGAGGATCCCTGGCAATGCTTAGCCGCCTGTTGTGAGCTGCGAAACGCATTGAACCACCCAGTTCCTGCCGAATATCCCTCCCGCTTGCCTATCCATCAGGATGGCTCCTGCAATGGTCTCCAGCATTACGCTGCCCTTGGCGGTGATCTTGAAGGTGCTCAGCAAGTCAACCTTGAGCCCTCTGACCGCCCATCCGACGTTTACTCTGGCGTTGCCGACTTCGTCAAGCGAACCGTTTCACGGGAGGCCGCGGAGGGCAACCCTGTTGCGAAGCTTTTGGACGGAAAGATCACCCGCAAGGTCGTCAAGCAAACCGTTATGACGAATGTTTATGGTGTGACCTTTATGGGAGCCATGAAGCAGGTTCGAAGGCAGCTGGCAGACTACTATCCTGAACTCACTCGCGTCGAAAGAAATCAAGGAGCCTTCTATGTCGCCGAAAAGATCTTTGAAGCCCTGGGTTCGATGTTCAATGGAGCACATCAAATTCAGTACTGGCTCGGCGACTGTGCCAGCCGCATCACCTCAGCGCTCAACCCGCAGCAGGTTGAAATGATTGCTCAAAAATTCATGACAGCCGGAGATGAAGCCCCTGGTGAACGAGCCCACGCATCCCGAACCACAGGTTCTGACCTGGCGAAAGAGTTCAAGTCGACCGTCATCTGGACGACCCCGCTAGGTCTGCCTGTCGTCCAGCCGTATCGGACTCGAGCTGTCAAGCGCGTGTCAACAACCTTCCAGTCATTGAGTGTTGTCGAACCCACCTCTAGCACTAATGTGTCTCGGCGCAAGCAACTGCAGGCCTTCCCCCCCAACTTTATTCACTCTTTGGATGCGACACACATGATGCTGTCTGCGATTGCTTGCCGGAAAGCTGGCCTTAGTTTCTCTGCCGTCCACGATTCTTTCTGGACGCACGCTTCGGATGTTGATACGATGAATGGGATCCTCCGCGATGAATTTGTTCGGATGCACTCCGATGACGTGGTTAAGCGATTGGCGGCAGAGTTTGAAGTGCGGTACGGACAGCACATGTATCTTGCCAGGGTGCCGAGAGCCGGCAAGATCGGACTGGCGATTCGCGACCTTCGGAAGGGCGGGGGCTATACATTGACCGGGGAGCTCGTTGCGGAACACAAGAGGCAGCAGCTGTTGAACTCCGACGATCCGGAAATGCAAGCTCAAGGGCGTGAAATGATTACACCAGCCGCTGTCTTTGAGAAGCTTGGTGGCACCGATGACGATCTCTATATCCCTCAGTCCCTCGGCCGCAGTAGGGCACCTAGCCGTGAAGATCTGGAGGCTGCTAAAAAGCAGCTTGGCGAAAGTGACGAAACGGACCCGCTCGTTGACAGCCTCCTTACAGGCGACTTTGACAACGCGAACTCGCTTGCGTCGGAAGCCGGTGTGGAGGAAGCTACCGACCTTGAAGAACATGCGGTGCCGAAGAAGAAGAATCAAGCCCCCCTCGCGACTACTTATTGGCTGTGGATGCCGATGCGGTTCCGAGAGGTGCCTAAGAAGGGCGCGTGGGATTTGACGCGGATTCGGGACAGCGCATATTTCTTTTCTTGATTACGGCCAAATAATAGGGGGCTGGCGTTGAGATTACGGCAAAAGTGCAAGATTTGGCGTGGCGTTCTGATTCCGGACTACTACTAGACTACAGCGATTTTGGGCCCGTCTTTTGACGATCATGTACATTATTATGATATCCATGTATGAGTATTTGTATATAAAGAGCCGCACATATATATGACATATTTGAACCTATTGCGCGTCCTTGACCAGAGTGTCGCCCATCAATCTCTGGCGGTGTTGGCACGGCAGAAGTGTGATTCGGGCCACCGGATAAACCCGAGTCTGGGGTAATTTAGCCAGAATCCGGCTGAACTGCCTGCACTCTGCATGCCTTCAGTTTCTGCGACCTTTGGATTCTCTCCGGCGGGCAGGACTCACCTCCTAGTACTCATGATCCGGCGGAGGTCTGACCACAGTTTTATTAAGCCTTACGCGAGGCTTCACAGGATAGACGTATGATAGTTTGCCATCAGCCAGCGTGATTTGCCTGCCCCGGTCGGTTGCAGGTCCTGTTATTTCTTCAGGTCCCCCCCAATCAAACTCTGTAATTCTCCCGGCAGACGTCCTAGCCTTGTTGGGCTGGGAGTCGGTCCTCCAATTTCATGTAGACTCCAGAATTCAACCAGATCGGACCGAGATCAGGGAACTGATGCCCTTTGTCCGTCGAGAACCTGCAACGGCAAACTCCAGATCTGGGGAGCCTGAGGCTGCGACTTCCCCACCTTTCCCGGTCGTTTGAGTTTCCCTTTTCCCTTCGCTTTTTTTCTCCTGAGGTTCCAGAATCCAGGGCCAGTTTTTCAGCTTTCTTTTGTCTTTCTAGCTGCCTTCTCTTGAGTTCTCTTTGGGCCGAAACACCTGAAGCAACTCGAGTCTCGCCTGGTCACCGTCACCGCCGATTACTTCCTGATCCTCTCGGTCTGGGCGCATGGCCTGACCTCCATCTCCATCCACGGCCTCCACTAACGCTTGTGGTGCGCTTCCCCGGCTTCTGGGGTCGGAACGTGCCTTTAACTTTCTGTCTCCTCGTGTCCCATCCTTCTTGTCACTTCCCCCTCTTCTGAGACCGCCCCTGCCCTGGTGTCCTGTTCCCCTCTCTGCTTCTTCTGTACTTTCGTGGCCCGGCCTCCGTCGGCAATGCAATGCGCCTCTCCTCACCATCTCCACTAATCTAACCTTCAACTAAATCCTCGCCTCCGTACGGTTTCGTCCCCTCACCTGATCCCCTCCACTTCGGCTGCAACTTTCTTTCTTTTGCCTCAAAACTTGCCACTTGGACAAGTCTACAACCTGCAGCCTCGATTCTCATGTCCTGTTGATCCAGTCCCAGCGAGGATGTCGACTACCTCGCTCCAGCAATTCGCCAACTCCTTTTCCCCTTTCTCCACTTCTCAGTCGGCGAGAATGACACAGTCCCAGACCGTCGGCCTGGACACTCTCGCCGAGGGTTCGCAGTACGTTCTGGAACAGTTGCAGCTGTCGCGAGAAGGCGGCTCCGCCGAGAACAATGCATCGAATGCACTCAGACATTCCCTTTCCAGCTCCAAGGACCAGCTCTACGGCGACAACAACCCCAGCTTCAAGCCCGCTTCCGTGCGCGATTCTCTCGCCGAAGCGCGCTCCATGATCCGCAAAAACTCATCGTCTGCGCCTGTTCGGCGGAGAATTAGTCGCGCGTGTGATCAATGCAACCAGCTTCGGACCAAATGCGATGGCGAGAATCCATGCGCCCACTGCATAGGTCTGCCGATCTTGTTTCCGATGCAGTTGCTGCATAGTTTGCTGACCATGTGTTTTAGAGTTCGGATTAACATGCGAATACGCTCGCGAACGCAAGAAACGTGGAAAGGCTTCAAAGAAGGATCTCGCAGCGGCGGCGGCAGCAGCTGGGCGCCCGAATGAGCATCCATCCCCTCCGGACCGACGCCCGTCCATGGAGGCAAGTGGCCGCTATGACCCTGCCCTCGAGACTGCTCGAGTACAATCGCAGTTACCACCGACTAATGGACTAGCGGGAATACAGTCCGGTCATTCAGCGGCGGCGCACCCTCAGCCTCCACTGGGATCTACCCTTGATGGTCTCCATCTGAATCATTTTGGCAATTTAAATGACTCGAACCGCCCACAGATGGCCGTTCCTGATCTGCGATCATTGCAACTCTTGCAGAACAATCCACGCTCGCCTCCGTCCGTTCTTCCACCGCACGGCCTGAATGCCTACAATGACAGCGCATTCTCTCTGCTAAACGCACCGGAGCCGAACTCAACCTCACTCAACCACTTCCGACTTGGAAACTCTACAGACAACACTTCTGCTCAGTTCCTAGGCCTCTCGCCGCCGGCGCAGTCACCTGGCTGGCTCCCGTTACCCTCTCCGTCTCCCGCGAATTTCCCTTCCTTTCCTATGGCGCCGTTTTCTACTAGCTTACGATACCCCGTTTTGCAACCTGTTCTTCCTCATATTGCATCCATAATCCCTCAGTCACTTGCGTGCGATCTCCTCGACCTCTACTTTACGAGCTCCTCCTCTTCTCACCTGTCTCCCCAATCCCCTTATGTCGTCGGCTATATATTCCGAAAGCAGTCGTTCCTGCACCCGACAAAACCACGAGTCTGCTCTCCTGGATTATTAGCGAGTATGCTATGGGTGGCTGCGCAGACCAGCGATGCTCCCTTCTTAACTTCACCGCCATCTGCCCGGGGCCGAGTATGCCAGAAGCTCCTGGAGTTAACCATCGGTTTGCTGCGACCACTGATCCACGGACCGGCTCTCGGCGAAGCGTCACCAAATTATGCAGCTAACATGGTAATAAATGGGGTTGCCCTCGGCGGATTCGGTGTCTCGATGGATCAGCTTGGCGCTCAAAGTACGGCCACGGGTGCAGTTGATGATGTAGCAACGTACGTGCATCTCGCCACGGTGGTATCTGCAAGCGAGTACAAGGCTGCTAGCATGCGATGGTGGACGGCTGCTTGGTCATTGGCACACGAACTCAAACTGGGTCGCGAATTACCTCCGAACGCCTCGCAACCCGGCCAAGATGGAGAGCGGGAAAATGACGTGGATGACCCAGCCAAGCGCACCGCGTCTTCCCTGCTGTCCGCGCATGGCCCCGGAAACGCGAATGTCAACGTGACAGAAGAGGAACGGGAGGAACGGCGGCGCCTCTGGTGGCTTCTATACGCGACTGATCGCCATCTCGCGCTTTGCTATAACAGGCCAATTACCTTGCTGGACAAGGAGTGCTCGCAGTTATTGCAGCCGATGAACGATGATTTGTGGCAGGCTGGGGAATTCCCTTCTGCTAGCTACCGCGCCGTTGGCCCCCCAATCGAATGCGCCGGTCATAGCATGTTTGGATATTTCTTGCCGCTGATGACAATCTTAGGAGGGATCATTGATCTGCACCAAGTCAGAGAGCATCCTCGGTACGGCCTTGCGTTCCGTAATGGCACCGAGTGGGATCAGCATTCCATGGAGATCACGCAACAGCTGGACGCTTACGGGCAGAGTTTGAAAGAGTTCGAGGCGCGATATACAAACAGCCTGACATATGCCGAGAATGAGCAAGCAGAGAATCCGCATTTAGACCACGTGAGTCCATCTGGCCGATCAAGCAGCACTGTTGGATCCCGCGTCAACGAGTCGATTGTGCACACAAAGATGGTCGTCGCCTACGGGACGCATATCATGCATGTCCTGTACATTCTGCTTGCTGGGAAGTGGGACCCGATCAACCTTTTGGAAGACCACGACATGTGGATATCCTCCGAGTCTTTCCTTGCGGCAATGAGCCACGCTGTCGGCGCCGCAGAGGCGGCGGCGGATATCCTCGAGTATGACCCGGACCTCAGCTTCATGCCATTCTTCTTCGGCATTTACCTACTACAAGGTAGTTTTCTGTTGCTACTCGCTGCGGATAAACTACAGGGCGACGCCAATCCCAGCGTTGTTCGGGCTTGCGAGACCATTGTCCGGGCGCACGAGGCGTGTGTCGTGACTTTGAATACAGAATATCAGGTTAGTACCCAGTACTCTCTATAATAGGCCGTTCCTGACTTTTAAATCTTTAGCGAACATTCCGAAAAGTAATGCGCTCGGCCCTTGCCCAGGTCCGCGGGCGCGTACCGGACGACTTTGGCGAGCAGCAGCAGCGCCGACGCGAAGTGCTATCCCTCTACCGCTGGACCGGCGATGGCACCGGGCTTGCGCTTTAGTGCCTGTATATTTGATACCCATGTGCCTGGAATCTACGATTGACACGATCTACGAAGCGATAATACGTACGGGGTTGGCCGGCCTCGTCGGGAGTTTATAGGAGCAGCGGCAATACCCTTGTCTATTCACATCCGCGCAGGCGGAATAAGATACCTATTCCATTGTTTTCTTGTATGTTTCTTGCGATATCTAGGAAAATAATCGTGGCCGAGTACATAGTTGATGCCTTTACTGTATGACTGGCTTTGTGTATACTACGGAGCTCATACTCGATTCTGCCAGACCTACCGAATCCCATTCCTACCTACCTCTTTCTTCTTGCCTTATTCTCTGCTATCCAAGAACAATAACGACCCTTGAGCCTGACTGACCACTCAGAGACCACTTATTTCTTCCGCCGCGCTGAGCTAATCCGATAAGCTGATAAGAGCTTCGAGTCTCCGCGGCTTCTCCATCCCCAGCTTTCACCTCTGATCGAACAGTCAATCATCATTCCTGACATGGCTCAATTTATCATCTCATAACCCGATCACGATGTATTTACTCCCCAAAGCTCGCAGCACAATCCCAACCCCAACCCTCCAGCGACCCCTCCCCTCTCGCCCGATCTGCCGCAAGCCCAGCCTACTCCTCCCCCGCATCCCGCACCGCAGCCTTGGCATCCCTCCCCAATACCTCCTCGACGACTACACGCCACGCTACCAACTCCTGACCTCAATTGAAGCATCCAAGAAGCGCTCGCAGGCGTACGCACATTTGGCGAACTGCAACCTGTGTCCGCGCCGCTGCGGCGTCAACCGGTACGAGACTACGGGCATGTGCCTGATTGGCGCGGAGACGGCCAAAGTCAACGTCATTGCACCGCATCGGGGGGAGGAACCTTGTATCCAGGGGTTCCATGGGAGTGGGTCGGTTTTTTTCTCGGGGTGTAACCTTCGTTGTGTTTTTTGTCAAAATCATGTATGTTCTTCCCATTCCTCTTGGGAGTTCGGTGTGCGAGATGGATGCTAATCTAAACGGTGAACTACAGGATATAGCCCACCAACGCAACGGCTTCGATCTGACCCCAACTGAACTGGCAGAATGGTACATGAAGCTCCAAGAAACCGGCAACGTGCACAACATCAACCTCGTCACCCCCGAACACGTCGTGCCCCAAGTCGTCCTCTCGATCCTCGATGCGCGCGACATGGGGCTACGTATCCCGATAATCTACAACACATCGGCCTTTGACTCTCTGGATTCTCTCCGCCTTCTCAATGGCCTCGTCGACATCTACCTCCCCGACTTTAAGGTTTGGAAAGCGAGCAGCTCAAAACGTCTATTGAAGGCTGTGGACTATGTCGAGACGGCGATGGAGAGTGTCAAGGAGATGCATGCGCAAGTCGGAGATTTGAGTTTTACGAGCGATGGGATTGCGCAAAGGGGGGTTTTGCTTAGGCATTTGGTTATGCCAGGGATGGAGGATGAGGGGAGAGACATTATGCGGTGGCTTGCGGAGAATGTTAGTCAAGATTTGTATGTGCATATTATGGAGCAGTATCATCCCGATGCGCATGTTGGGAAGAAGAGGAGGACTACGAGGCGGAGGACTGATAGTGGGCAGGAGGAGGAGGCGAAGGAGGAGGTGCGGTATGCGGAGATCAATCGTGCTGTTCGGGATGAGGAGCTTATGAGTGTCAAGGATGCGGCTATCGAAGCTGGGCTGTGGAGGTTCTGTGAGGTCAACGAGAAGAGCATGTTCCATCTGTAGGTATGACTGGAGTCCTGCTTTCGTCTGATTTGGTCTGCTAGGTTCTGGCTTCTTTGTATGGGTCGAGTGTTGTATACTCTTGTAGTATAGATAAAGCGTTCACTTTTCCCTTTCCCAAGATTCCCATGCGCTTTACTAGCTCTTCTCCAGCACAGCTGTTCTTTCAGTCAGGTGCTGCTCTCCCTTTGAGATTAGGCAGCGATGATGCGATTCCATTAGTCGCAGCATGATGAGTCGTTCAACAATGATGCGATTTCACACACTTCTCGGCGTCAAGCTGTGATAAACATAAAAACCCTGCTTTCCCCCCTTGACTCAACACTTTTCTCTTCTTCTTCTCCTCTCTTCTGTGTCTTCTCACGTGTCCGTTCCTTTTTGCTTTCAGTTTCGTTTCAGTTTCGAGGTTCGTTTTTCTCTTTCGTTCGTTCGTTTTCTTCTATCCCGTTCTTTTCCTTCGTTTATCCCAAGATGGCACCCACCCCTCCTGCCGTCAACGATCCCAACAGCAAAAGCTGCCCAAAATGCAAGAGATCGGGCCTTATAGTCCTGTTGTTCATGTCAAGGAAGGGCGACCGCGTACTCAAGATGTGCGAGAAGTGTCGTGCCAGCTCGCAGAACTCGGTGAGTCTCTGCTGTCTGGGTCTGCTTGTTACGGTTGAGATTTTGAAGTGTTACTGACAAATACGATAGCACCGCAGAAGAAGAAGGCAGGACGCAGTGCGTTTCCTCTTGTGGTACTGTTTCTATGGTAAGAAGAAGACTGACGTTGGGTATAGGCAAGGAGGCAGATGGCCGCCGCCGCCCTACAGGTATGTAGCCCTAACTCTCACACGTGAGGCAAGACTGACGAGAAAGAAAAAGACTTTTGAGCAGATCGATGACCCCAACGAGCATCAGAACCAGGCCGGAGATGGCCATAACCACAACCACGGACACGGTGGTGAGAATGGTGTTCCTGTTGTTGAGGCTGCTCCCGTTTTTGAGACCGAGTTCCTCTTCGACCACAACGCTGCCACCTTGGTGCCCCCCTCTTTTCTCCAGGCTCCTGCTTCCTCCTTTTCCTTGACTGGTGATTGGACCCCCCTGCCCACTTTCGATCATCCCTCGGATGAGCATTTCCATCCGGGTTACCTGGTTAACCGCAATTTGCTTGACGATTCTGACGAGTGGTTAGCTGCTCACGGGGGTTTCGAAATGCCTCCTGCTCCTACTCCTGCTTCTGTCTACGCCGGAAACAATGACCTTCTTTTCCCACCTGTCTCAAGATATGCTGCTACTGGCTTTCCCGCCGACCCCCCTGCTGGCCTCTCTGCTAGCGTCGCCGCTTATTACAGTCTCCAGGAACCCACCAACTATCCCAAGGTTCGTAGCATTCCCCCTTTCTCAGACAATCTTCACTAATGAAACGAATAGCCCACCGCTGAGATGAGCGTCGCTGTGCCTCCCGCCTCGCCCTACCCTGTGGCTGAATCGTACTCGGGCGTCGACTATGATAGCCAGCAGGCGATTACTGAGAGGTTCACTAACCCCGGTCTTTATGCCGATGTTGCCTTTAAGACTTCCACCTTTGTCCATGACGATCTGGAGCTTTATGACAGTCTCATGAACAGCCCCGGTCATGCTGATGCCCTTCAGACCCCTGTTTCTGTCCATCACCATCAGGAGTCTCACGGTTCTCTGGGCCCTTTGGGTTATGTTGATGCCGCTCTGACCCAGGCCTCCGTTGATCAGCTCCCGACCCCTTCTTCTTCTCTCGATGACCGCCTGGCGTTTAACGGTCCTTTCAGCCCCCTTGATAATGTCAATGCTGCTCTGAGTCTGGCTTCCGTTAATGAAGTTCAGACCCCTTCTTCTCTCGATGAATACCAAGAGCTTCTTGATAGTTTCGTCAACTCTGACGCCCACGCTCCCCTCGTTTCTCCGCACAGTGGCCACTATTCCGGTGAGAACAGGTCTACTCTGACGGTCACTGCTTTGGCTGAGGCAGTTGAGACCGTGAAAACTAGTGTTTCGGTGGCTGACCCTGAATTCTATCTGAGCCAGTTCCCCGATTTTGATTTCACCGAGGCAGTCTTTGACAAGGAAGAGGAACAGATGCCCAAGGATAGAGTTTGTCGATATTACCGCTATCACCAGGATTCCGCAGAGTAGTGTCACGTTGGTGTCATGTCTTGTCCTTTTGCTCTTTGTCCCGAGGACTGAGTCGTTGGTGTTTAAGGCAGATGTTCGTTTTGTTTAGCAACAGAGGCTTGTACAGTGACGAAGTTCGGACGGCGGGTGGAAGAACTTGAAGGCTTTACCGAATCATAATATGTTGTTGAAGCTTTTCGTTTGTATCTAGTCAGGTACCGAAATAGGAAGGCGCTGCTAGTGGTCGTGGAGGAGCTCGCTCCTTCCTCGAACTGTACGTGCCATTGCCATTGCTTCATCCTTCTCATCTTCTTCCCTCCTCTCTCTCCTTCACTCTTCGCCCACCCTTCCCGTACTGTGGCAATGTATCTTTCCCCCTCTCCAATTTTTTAACCCGCCCCTGTACAAAATGCGGTACGAGTCGGTCTTGTCGTTCGCCGCCAGCTGGGTGCTCCCAACAGGCCTGCAATCCAGGCAGTTCGAATCAACCTGTCCTGTTTCCTGCCGCACTGACCCAGGCCACTGGACTGCGTACACGTCGCTGGAGAATCTAAACGCCTGCGACCATCCAGTGTTGCTTGACTTCTCCTCACAAGACTCCCTCGACTCGCCCAATGCTACCTTCAAGATAGTCGCCTGCACCATCGACGACGAGCCTGATGCCTCGTTCGAGTCGCGATCCCTGCCACGCGATGTGCAGAATCATCCGAATCTGCCTGATCTCCTGCAGCTGGACTACCTCTTCCGCTATATGCAAACCTTCCTGACCCGCACTCCGACGCACAGCACACGCAACCTCCTTGCTTATTTCAACACTACCTCCGTCGGCCTCTACAGCGGCGCTGCCACCGACGATGCTTTTATGATCTCCCTCGTTGAAGGCATGCGCGACTGGACGACCGGCAACCCAGAGAACAAGAGCGCCGCGGTACAGTTTTGCAGTGGGGATCACCATGGAGACCACACTTTTGGCATGGCCTTTGACATCGCTGGCAATATGAACACCGTGAAACTGGCCCTCGATGCGTGGACAAACGCGCAATGTGTGGATGGGCCGGAGTTGCTCGAGATTGAGGATATTCCTGCCCTCGCAAAGTCAATTCACCGACATGATTTCGAACAAGTCGTCCATGTCTCCCACCAGTACTCACCGGAGTTTGGCTGCGTCGTGGAAACAAGTATTTACGGAGACACATGCAAGACCTTGTCGGATCGATGCAGGATCTCTGCGGATGACTTTTTGAGTTACAACCCGGGGAACGACTTTTGTTCATGGCTCCAGCCTGGCCAGCAAGTATGCTGCTCGAGCAAAGAGTGGGCAGGCACCCAACCTGTCATCAACGAGGACGGTTCATGCGCGAGCTACATAACGCAGCCCAACGACACCTGTGCTTCCATTGCTGAGGCACACCACCTGGGCTTGCTGGATATCAGCTACTTTAATGACGGGCGAACCTGGGGCTGGAGTGGCTGCGACCCACTTGAGCCTGACGTGAGAATCTGTCTAAGCACAGGAATCCCTCCCCTGCCGCTCCCTCGAGATAATGCAGTTTGCGGTCCCACAGTGCCGGGTACACAAATACCAACTGACGGTACACCACTTGCGTCACTGAACCCGTGCCAGCTGAACTCGTGCTGCAATACCCTGGGCCAATGTGGCGTCTCTCCCGAATTTTGCATCTACGAAGAGGGCCCGACGGGAAACCCAGGAACAGCTCCAAAGGGGCGCAAGGGATGTATTTCCAACTGCGGATTTGAGATCATCGATAACTCGGATCCCCCTGCGGAGTTCATGCGAATTGGCTACTATGAATCGTTCAACTTTGACCGGCCCTGCCTCAACCTCCGCGCAAAGCACATCAATGCCAGCGACTACACCCATATCCACTGGGGGTTTGTGACCGTCAACAGCAGCTTCCACATTGGAGTCAACGACATGTATAACCAGTGGAACGACTTTCTGACTCTTCAGGGTGTGAAGAAGGTCATCTCCATTGGAGGCTGGGGATATTCGGTCAACTCCGCGAGCCTCGATGTGCTTCGTGAGGCCATGGATCCCGCAAACGTGGATTCGTTCATCGTCAACATCATGACCTTTGTGAAGGAGCACAATATCGACGGGCTGGACTTTGACTGGGAGTATCCCGGAGTAAGTTTAACCCAGCCCTGGTTGACTTTTACTAACTTCAAAAAGGCTACAGATCTCCCGAGCTTGTCCTTGGGTTGGTTGGCGGACGGCCCGAACTATCTTGCGTTCCTGAAGAAGCTCAAGATGGTCTTCCCCCGAGAAAAGACTGTTGCAATCGCGGCACCTGCAAGCTATTACTACCTCAGGGTCTTTCCCCTGGCCGAAATGTGGCCTTATCTCGATTACATCGTTTACATGACATACGACCTCCATGGTGAGAATGCTTGGTCCTTCAACGGAGATATACTAACGCCCCTTTAGGGCAATGGGACTATGGCAACTCTATTCTCGACTGGTGTCCGATGGGAAACTGCCTGAGAAGTCACGGTATGTCCGACCCGGTCAGAGCTAGAGGGCAAGCTAACTGAATAGTGAACCTGACCGAAACGGAATACGCGCTCGCTATGAGTAAGAGTCCCCTTCTTCCTAGATTGGCCTTGGCTTATAGTCTACAGTCACGAAAGCAGGAGTCCCAAGGAACAAGGTCGCAGTCGGCGTGGCCAGCTACGGACGATCATTTGGCATGAGCGAGCCCGGCTGCACAAGGCCAGAATGCACCTTTGTGGGTCCCGAGTCGACAGCGCTTCCAGGACCATGCACTGGAATTGTTGGTCTCATCTCGAATGCCGAAATTGAGGACTTGATCATCGAGGAAGACATCAACGAGTCATATTACGATCCTGGGTCCGACTCGAATATACTGGTCTACAATGACACTCAGTGGATTGCCTACATGAGCAAGGCGACTCTGAGGAGGCGGATGCAGTATTACAAGGATCTGAAGTTTTACGGATACGCAAACTGGGCAGTCGATCTGACGCACTGGAGTGGAGATGACGGCCACCCAGAGGGGCGGCAAGACCACGAAGGTCTTGGGAGGCAAGGCCGGCATTGTATGTGATCCTAGATATCCGCTATTGATACCGCTTGTGAAAATAAACATTATTCAGCTATCATCACGAGAAGAGCAGGGCATGCTAGAGAATTGGTGAACCCTCCCATGCACGGATCGCCCTCATCGCCCTTCACATAGGCCAGGATATAATCCAATAGCATGACGAGGTCGTCCGTATAACATATGAACTCGGACTTTACAAATGCCCGGAGAACACGCAAATGGAATGACACAAAAGTGAAGCATCAATCTTAGCCTTTCTGTATACCTTATCCCGGCCGAAAGTCCTCTTTACTCAAGATGCCCTGCCTGACTTGGCCTGGTATGAGATGATTGCTCTCCTCGCTTTTACTTTGTAAGTCACCGATACTGCAATTGCAGGGTCGCTCTCAGTGCCAGTGCTAGTCCAAGATGCCGAGCACTGTTTTTTTTGTTGTGCCGCCATCAATGTAATGTCTCTCGACATCTTCAAGGCCACTGCATTATGGCGTATAGTACGTCTTACTCTTGCGACGGGGTCGCAGCCGAGTGTGACGGTGACGGTGACGGTGACAGCGCACAGCGCACCTGTACGCAAGTATCTTGATATCCTATCTGCGAATTGCTCTGCAGGCGCAGGGACATCAATAGGTGGCGTAACCCAGGTACTGCAAATGCCTTACGATTCAGAACACCAAGCGTCGCAGCGTATTTTCTAGACAACGAGAACAACTACTTCACCATGCACCTCACTCGGTTTCTTCCTGTGGCCACATCGGCCCTCCCTAGTTGGTTCCCTCCTGGAAAACTGTCAGGTTGGAGGATACGTACAATGAGTTCTGGTTGTTTGCAAGTTCGGGGTATCTTACGCTCTTTTACTTAGTACCTAGAGGGTGGAATTATAGATAGACAGCATCTCGAAGAATACAGGCTACGATTCTGCCCGTTCTGCGGGTTTCATGCTATGTATTTTGACAGTCCACGTTATTGCTGGGTATGTCAAGGTTCGCTGCCCCTTCATGCGCAGTTGACCCGACGCTGTAGTATTATTTCATAGTATTTCAGAGTCCTGCTAATGAACATGATGATGGACATAGATGGTTCCTGTAAAATTCCAGCAATCATAGACTCATCAAAGGAGACTAGGATATCCTTCGTTCCAACAAATCGTTCCAACCGGCCCACTCAACCCATTGTAAAGGCTACTAGTAATGCATTCTATTTGCTTATCTCGAAGGGGAAAAAAAAGAAAAGAAGAAAATCCAGAAGCTGACTGTCTGACTATCTTCTTCCGTCCACCATGAATCGGCGTGCCCTACCCATACGCACAGATGCTAGTTCCCAAACCAGGCACGAAGGTTCTCTTTTTCAATAAGGCTGGGGTCGGGTCTATGATTAATGCGTCACCTGTCCTGACCAGACCGCAGTGTGCGGTTCGGCCAGCTCCGTGTCGATCGCAATGGCCATTTTGCGAGTGAATGAGGTCTCGAGGAAACGGATTCGTCATCAGATAGATGCGTGGTAGGGTGCCAATAGGATACTTGGGTGATCTAGATATGAATGGCATAACGATGAGATAGCCTTGGTCAATCCTGCGCTAACTATAGATCGTATTCGCCGCACGCACCGGTGTCTTGACCAAATTTCTCGCGGGACGGACATGAAGAATCATCGGGATGATGGAAGCTAGCCACCATGAAAGACCAGTAGGCGTGCTTGGACTCTGGGAAAGTAAGAAGAGGCTTCTTCGTTCTCATAGGGTTATGAACCTACCTCTGGGAAGCAAGCGCAAGGGTGCTTGAGTGGAATGAAAAGCTCGCCAATTCTTCCAGAGTGTGGCAGTTCACCAAAAACCCGCGCAACTCCCAAAGGCTCGTATGGAAGATGGTCCCCACTTTGTTGGCCATCGAGAATGGGTAGATATGGTACACTTTGATGTAGTCACCTGCCCGAGTGACGCGGCCCCTATCTTGGTAGCAAAGGCGACACTTGCACTTTGTTGAGCTTCCTCCCCAAGTATGGCGGCTTGCGTCCACAGCGGAGCTGTGAGGGGCATATTCTGAAAGTTGGGATCAAAGGGATGTCACCAGATATACAGCAAAAACGCAGCTATTGTGTTATTGTTCAGGCATGACATGAAGACAGGGAATTCTGGGCCAAGTACTTCTGTATGTCTTGCCCTGCGCGAGAGCATTGTGGAGATGTCAGAGCGGCTTTACCATGTTGATTCCTCGTGGTATATTCTGATAGATGTGGTGTCATGGATCCGGGGGCGAGCCGAGAATGAAACGTGCCGTTCGTGTCCAGGCGAATGTAGGTATCATATCAACATAGGAGCCAGTGACCATAAGACCAAGTAACTAGCTCCGTCATATGCCGTGACAATGACGTTTTCTAATGGAGGGGCACTCGCGATGTGTACTACTCATGCCATGGCAGCCACAGGAAAGAAAAGGGTTGCATATACCGCCAGTCGTCTTTCCCAGCAGTGGAGTCCCGCGGTTGCCGATGCGGAACGAGTCAACGAGATTGTCGTCGTAGGCGAAGTCTGCGATCTTTTTAATGAGGTGGACTCGACGTTCCTCGGTTCCTTCTGGATACGTACTTTGCGTCAACGTAGGAGGCTAGCTGGCGTAAAGGGTCCCTCGTTCATGGTCCTATCTTGAAGGTCCAAGAGGCGTAGGATATCTGACATACTATAGCTCTGGTCACGAACGATCTGTAAGCGTTGATCGGTCCAGTATGGCGGCTGCTGCGCCAGTGGGACAGCACCTTGGTGACCGAGGGGGTCCGTTTTCTCAACGAAGGCGATAACCCAGTGGATGGTTGGGCTTTGGGTGTGGCTGAGGACAGGCCGGCGCATGATGCAATAGTGCCTCCGGTTCCAATTGCCCCATTCGGGGATTTCTGCCATACTGTACATCTGATCACGAATGATCTGTAGACGTTGATCAGTCCAGCAGGGCAGCTGCTAGACCAGTGATATAATGTTATAGTCACCATGGGGGCTAGTTTTCGTAATAAAGGCAGCCACCTAGCGAATGTTCGGGCACTGGGTGTAGCTAAACACAGGCGGGTGTATAATTAGTAAGAAAGCTAGTTAATATCGCCATCGTGCACGATTTCTGCATCCCGCTTGACTGGTCCAGATGTGACAATTTGCTTGTAAAAGTTCTGAGCGTCAAAAAGAACCCACTGTTGGAGATTCAAACACGTGCTGGCCAATCCAAAACCCGACTTTAGTGGTTTCCGGCTGCTAGTGTGTACAATGATCTTTTTATTGTAGACACCTTGTCGTTGCAGAAACTCCTCGCTATGAGTGAAATCGACGTGGTCCCAGGATTCGAATAGGCATGACTCGCAGGTGATGGTCCGATGATTGTCTGTGTACTTGGTAACTCTAAAGGCCAACTTTGGTAGGGTGGCCTTACAGGCAAGGCATTAGACCACTCTGTTAACGGTCAGATGGATCAAGGTACCGCTGGGCAGCCTACGGGTTACGTGGGTTCCTACGACTGAGATGCTTGCAGATGGCCGCAGCAAACCGTTTGATCGACAAAAACACCAGAAGGTTCTGGAGATGCTTACTTTTGTGGACATCAAAGGACTCATCCGGGCCTGGTCCGGCCCCTCGCTCACGCTGAGCGGGTGTGTCGACCGGATAATACCGGAAACATTCGAATAGTGCAGCGACTCGCTCGGTCCCGCCGGGTGATGATGCAAGCCTCTTGTGGTTGATTGCGCATGATCCTGCCCTCTATCCTCGCCACCTGCGCATAACAGAGGAATAACTGGACTGCTCACTGATATGTTGCAAAAACTCATGGCGGGGGGAACTGGAGCAGAGCATTCTCCTCGTACACTGCCTCTGGTCCCATTCGGCTCTTGGGGTTGATTGGCTTTTGGGCTCTGACCTAGTTGTCACACATGGCGCCCGTACCATGGTCGTGAGCTGTGAGGCATGGCTAGCCAAGTAGAGGAGAGCTGAGGAGCCGTAAGAGGGCAAACACCTACTTGATCATTGTCTTGGTCATTATTTCTGGAGCATGTCCTCATGTTTCCCCACAACGGCATTGCCGTCTTTCGGCTATGCTGCCTCAAAGGGCTTCATCCTCGTATTTATCTGTGAAGAACACCATCTCGATCGCCCAGGCCTCACTAGAGTAGTGGATTAAAGGGGCCTTGGAAGGTTCTTGGGCGATCGCGATGTTGGTTTTGGGAGGTGCAAAAGAACACCAGGAGAGCGTCGATAGTCTTGCGTTAGAGAGTAGGACTGGCTGAGTACGCGGCCTGTCCTTCGCTCGACAAAGGCCTGCTTAGCTAGCTCACCATATACGGGCTCCATCGAATAGCCGATGAAACCTGCCTGAAGCTGTGTGAGGACCTAAACGCACGAAGAGAGCTGGCCAACCTTGCACCACCTCGATCGCTAGGACGGTCCAATCAACACCCACTTGCTTCATCTGGCTAAGCGCTTTGAATAATATCAACTTCTGCCCACTTGTCAACTCTGACTAGGGGATCTTGGTAAACGCTTGTATGAACTTGCGATTCGACATCGTGAACTTGGTTTCTCAAGAATTAGATATAAGGTATGAAATATCTCTTGTAATGGTTGAAATGGCTGCTGGTGCTGGCCTTTGGGGAGATGGAGACCTTGTTGAAGGAGACCACGCGTATCAACTAAGCAGGAATTCACGAAAACGCGCGGTCGCCATGCCATCTCTTGTGTATGGTTCGATTCAAGCGGGAAGATGGTACTCTGTAAACGACGAGAGGGTATAGCATCGTTGAGAAAGTCCGTCAGAGTGGGGGGCTGCCATTTGGTTTGTACAAGTCCGGGATGATGCAACTGCGACCTTGAGGCAGTATGGTAACCCTAACTTGTCCAGCATGCTACGAATCTGGCACACGCGTGGGCTCTTGACATCTGGGAGGCTCGATATTCGTCGGGAGAATAATGCACTTTGAACCAACGGGCAAAGGGCATGGTCAATCAATGACCTGTGACAACCACAGATGGTTTCTTCGTCAATATGCCGGGTTCGTCGCCAGGTCATCTGCATGTGGAACTGATAAAGGACCGTAGTACCTTCCACGCATTGGAGTTCACACCTTCCCTAAGTAGGCAGCCACCGGGGGCGCATGGTAGATGTGAAAGATGTGATCTCCCGTCCTTGCTTTGTGTGTCCATGCTAATTCAACGAGTAAGGCTCCCCGCGCCGGACAGGGTGATCTGGCTTGATCCTTGCCGCGGAAAGCAAACCTGGTGCTTGAAGATCCACGCAATCATTACTCATATCAAAACGCATCCCGATCGTTCGCGTACTGTTCTGCCCGCACCGGGCCCAACGCCTGGATCCTCGGCGCCTGGAGCTCCTGACTCGGAGTACTCTGTACAGGAGCTAGAAGGGAGTCAAAGATCGTGTTCGCTCCAGAGCCATCAGGGTATGAGCGTTGACTCGCAAAGTCGTCGCATGTTCCATACTATATGCTTGGTGTCTGGATTTTTGAATAGTTTTTGCGACAATTGTCGCCAGAACTGCTTATCCTTCGCGGCTTCTTCAGGGGTATACCGCATCTCAACATTGTTCCACCGGGCAGTGGGCATATCGTTTCCGATTTCATTGCCAGTGTGCAACGGAATCTCAAATGACAGCAAACGACGGATGATCGATATACCTCCCAAACCTTTTCGAAGTATTTCCTGGCGACCAGAGCGACATGAATTTGCCAGGTGCCAGAGAGGTCATGGTATTTTTTCGCCTGGGAACTATTGTCTGTCCGGAAACGTGAAACGTCCCTCTTGCTTGTACTTTGCAACAGCTAGCCTTGCATTAGAGGGCTTCCAATCCTCTGGGTTCCCAGTATTCTTTGCATAAAACAGTGCGCCCTCGGTATAGTTTTCAGCCGAGGAGCCGCAGCCTGTCGGGGAGATAGACGTCAACTCGGCTGACGATGACAAGACACAGGCGCGATGATGGGGCGTCGGGTCTCAGCGCGCAGGTGTAGTCTTTCAGCTAATAGACATTTGCGCCATATGCTTGACGGTATAGGCGTTTGGCTTCGCGTAAAAGCCCATCGATCAACTTCGTGCAGGTTTCCGCTGTGCTCAGCCCGTCGTATCTGTTCGACACACGCGCAATGAAAACAATGATGTCGTTGTTATCAGCCTGTCGATTGGCCATTTTGATTTTTTTGTTTTTGAAGCAAAAAAAAGCTTGTAGGGTGAGAGGGTGTGGATATGCCTGGAGCATCCTCGTTGACGATTTTGTCCAGGAGAATTTCTAGGGTCCACGATGATCCGCCCTGGTAGGGATTCCCCCAGGGACGACGTTACATGAGTGGAGGTCCGGTCTCAGCGGGTACTGTGTCAATGAAAGCGGATATGCGCAACGGCGGCAGTCGGCCAATTCTGTTGATATGTTGGCTGGTGACGAAGAACTCGTCCATGGCACCGAGCGCTGGACATGATGTGTATCTGTCAGTATATGTGCTCTTAGCCAATGCGTCCCATCCCGCCAATTGAGGGCACTCCGGGTGAGATGGAGCTTGGTTGGTCACCGCATTCCCTGCAGCTTCCTGCATTCTTATGGGCTCGCACTTGGGGAACATTGTCTTTCTTTTGGCCCATCGAAGTGTACTCAGGAAGAGTCTGGGTGAGCGTAAGAGCAGACAGATGAACCCATAAGATAGTACCACCCCACGTTCGCCGACAATTCTACGGAAGCTTGATTGGGCTCTTAATATTCCTTGTCGGTTCATGGATGTCATAGTACACCATGCAGCAGTGGCAGGCGTGGGATCCCGCTCCTCTGAGCAGCTCCGTTGTCCCACGAAACATCTCGCTGCTCTTTTGTGCGCACTGTTCTTGTTTTACCTCCTGAAGAACGGCGCAGAGCTGCGCTGCGGTGGCAAGCCGCTGCTTGACATAGCAGTCAGTGACTCGAAATGGTTGATCAGAGGCGAGACCCAGGAGTGCTATGTGGGATCCAAGCTGCCCCATGCGTTCTGGATCTTTCCCCTCCACTTTTTCGAGCTCAATACTCCATGTTTCTTCAATACAGAAGGCGCATTCGCAGCTTCCCCAGTCTTCTGTGGTGGATTAGAATAAGCAGGCAGATTGATTTACTTGTCTTCCTGCTCCCTGCTAGTATCCTCCCTGAGGGTTTCGTCTGTCCCTCGGCGTGCTGAACGGGGCTGGACGAGCTATACACTTCAGTTATGATCAATAGCCTCCAGATACTGGATGCAGGTGTGACCACTTTCATGATCTCTCTTAGATGTACCCATCGATCATGGCTTTGTTCCAGAAGTGAGACGCACTTGGTTGCTTGAGGACATGCTAGCCACCAAGCACAACACCCAGAAACATTTCCTCCGATGGAGCTCCTGCCACTTCGGTGGTGTCTTGGTAAAAGTAATATAGAGCTGCATTTATCCCGGGACACACGAACGCGGCTGCTGCACGTCAGCTTCCTGCTGGCTGTCTGATCAGTGGGTAAGAACGTACCATACTGAGTGGGAATTCTCTGATCCACGCAAATAACAAGACTATAATGCTGCCTCCTGCATGCCAATGATCTTGTCTTGAGAGAGGGCAAGGGAACACCCCTAAATCTCCAAACGCGACATTGCCAATATTTACTTTGTCTTCGAACGACCAGATCCCTGGCGCTTGCGGGGCTTTGTACCAGAAGGACCAGCCGCAGTCACATTACTTTAAGTGCAATGGGTTCCCTTCCCCTTATCCTTCCCTTTCCCCTTAGCCTCCTCCATCTTTTCCTCCTGCTCCGCCCCGCTAGGAGAGGTGCCCTTGCCACTATCTATAGATTAGGCACGCGCAGCTACCCCTTCCTTTAGCTTTATGACCCCGGCCTCCTTCTCCTAATCCCTCTTAATATCCTTGAACCACCATAGTCGCTGTGTCCTAGGATCCACCGGAGGAAGAGAACCTTTATCATCACTATCCTCTAGTAGCTTCGCGAGATCATCATCCATCCAAGAATCCGCATCTTGATCCAACAACCCACCCGGACCATTCCCTGCCTCACCCCCTTCACCATCCACAAGCCATTTACACTCCACGATAGCCCTCACCTCGTGGGTCATCATTGACTGTAGTTGACCATCTGTGATCGCCAGCATCTCCCTCTTGACATCTGCAGTCAGAGGCCCAAAGGCCGCCTGAAATTGGACATTTGTGTGGCGCCAGCTACACGGAGCACCTTTGTCATAACGAACTAGGGCCCCAGAGAAATATCTCGACAGTATTCTCTACATTTCCGGATCTTCCCTTGCAAACAATGCTGCTGCAGGTGTAGTCCATCTGGGCACTGTATCCTCTGCTTCAAGTATGGCTCGTATCGAGCCATTCTAGGTGAATACGTATGTGGCATTCGAGGTAGTGAGAGACTCCCAGGGGACAAATATGACCCAGACCTACGTGACCGCCGACCTGACTAACAAAACGGCTATAAACTCGCCCAGACATAGGGCCATCTCACCACGCCTGTCGGCGTGCAGTTTGCGAGAGCGGTCCCCCTGCGGTTTGATGGAGTACGTTGGTCACAAATGTCCACTGTTTGTAGACTTCGGGTCTCTTGGGTGCAGTGGGATTGTAGGCCTGGCCTGGTGAGGTAGCTCAGCGAGGCTGCGGAACGCAAGATGATAACCAGACGTAGTAGCTGTTTGCCGTGATGCTAAATCGGATGTAGAACGCCATATAGCACTTGCAGTTGACTGAACTATGAAGCGATACTGGATAGCCATGGTATATCCCAGACAATAGACAGAACGTCCGGCACTGAACCGTACTTTGGTATGCCGCCATCTCGCAACGGGTCTTGGTGAAGTGTCAGGTATCCCTTGCAGTAGGCGTTTTAGGGATACGTTTACTGGGGCTTCGTCGGCTTGTTGAAGCTTCGGTGGATAGTCTAGGCCGTTCCAGCGTTTTTTTCCTTCGAAATTTGTTGCTTTAAGCAGCGGGCGACACTCGTCCTTGGTAGTAAGTATCTTGAATCCTGGTACCGCTAGAAGCTCGGTAGTAATACCCAGTCTCTTCGCTGTAGACATCTTGAGTAGTGCTATCTAGTGGCCCATCTTCCGCTCAGTATACCAAGAAATCTTGATGCTCTAGGTACCTAAACTTAGTTATATCTCCTAAGCGTTGGAATCACCCATCCCCATGGTCTCCGAGAAGCCTGATCCTTGTAACTCCGGTACTCCTCGTAATACCGGCCAAGACGTTTTGCGTACTAGTAAAGAACGCAGTATCCTCTGAATCAGAACCGCCGAATGGAAGGTCCACGACTCGCATTATCATCGCGAGTGCCTGAATAGTTTTTCCAAGGCCGCAGTCGTCCGCGAGGTTCTCCCCTTTAATCGGGACCCTCTCCTGCTCCTTCATCCACGCGATACCGGTGACCTGGTACGCCTTGAGCCAAAGGGTCATATCCTCACCCATCTTCAGTTCCAGCGCGGCTGGATCGATGTTCAGACTCTCGCACGCATCCGACACTGACGGGGCCACTGCCAGCCCAGAGCTTAGGGTCTGGCATACCTCGGATACTCGCTTCAAGTCGCTCTGGTCCACGGCATCTGTACCCGTAAGTACATCGTCCTCCGTTGCCGCCTGGGCATCTCCCTGGGACGTCTCTTCGTTCAATCCCGGCAAACCCGCAACTCCTCCCTGCGCATCAGCCTTGTCGCGCCTCAACCTCTGACGGACGTCGTGTTTGAGGAAACCATCTGGACCCACGAGAAGCGCCCTCACCACGGCCAAGCTTTTACCCAAGTAATAGACCAGAGATCCCGAATCGGGGCTCCTTTCCCTGCATATGGCGCACGACCGCGTGCATTGCCGAGTATATCTGCACAGCGCAGCGTCGTTCAGCTTCACTGGATTAATCGACCATGCGAGACACATGCACAGTCGACTATTCGCGGCCTTTGCTATCTGAGACACTAATATGACCACCCAATACTGGCGGAGCCATAGATCCATAGACCCGCGGATCAGAATGTAAGATGTCCACCACTGAACAAGCAGCGCTGATGCGAAAGCATCCGACGCTGGCAAGGCAAATCGTGGCGTTCTCGCTTGGACGACGCTAGCTAGCTTAGAAGGGTCCGTTTTGGAACGGTCCTCATGCTGGGTCCAACGCAGAGGGTTTAGCCATAATATGGACAAACTCCGATGCCGAAGCTAAGGCCGTCAGGACCGCAGCTATCTGAGGAAAGAATATGTTAATACACGTGTATTCAGTGCTAGTATACGTAATAGCCCTCGCCCATCAGGACATCAGCGCGAGCGAGAGGATCGCGGAAACGAGCGGGGGGACGGTAGTTCTCTACGGTGAAGATGTTGGTGTGGGAAGAGACCCAGGATCTCGAGGAGGGCCAGATCAAACATTTAAGCCACGTTATTGGGCGTAGGCTATCTCTGTCGTGTCCTTTACGTGCAGTGGAGGGGCCGTTGATGTCATGGAAGCCATCTCCCGGCACCAAGCTGGCAAGCTTGAGCTGCGTGGTCACCCACCCAATGTATTCTAGGTCAGTCGCCCTCGAATAAATCATGAATAAATCATAAATAAAGAGGTGTTTATCTTGCCCTGTATAATGCAGCCTACCAAGTATCTCCATTGATATCTGGAGTATCTCGTAGCAGGCAGCCCAGTATACCATGGACGATGTCTTTTTGTTGACGAAACCAAGGTCTTCTAAGACTTAAACTTGATGCTTGGCCAACGAAGGCCGCCTCGCGGATATGCTCAGCGAGTTCGAGATGGTAGTTGAGAGCTATTACGAGTCGGAAAAGTAATTGGCGTCGTGCATAAGCATAATACAGGCTGCGAGTGGCGATGCGCAGGTTGCACATCGCTTTCATTTTGGCCGGGCTTAGGAACCTAGCACAAGCACTTCTGTCCACTGGTCGTGATTAGAGCCATCTGAGCGACCAGTGGTTGAGAGGTTTCTTTGATCACAGAAAACCGCATGGCGTTCGGTAGTCCACATCCACCACCTGTCTTGGGGGTTGCGTTAAGCAGCGGCGTCCGCGTCCCGCATGGGCATGTCAATCGGCAGCTTGGCACGTACACCGAGCCCAACTTGTTGCATAGCCTGTTGACGACGCTATGAGCACGCTGTTGTGGTGTGAGGGCAGAGCTTAATAAGAAGCAGCTTGAGCGGTAAACCCGCTCCAACGCCGTGGAGGTGTCGCCTCTCGCCTCAAGCCTGTGCCTATTGCGGTTCAGAAATGGAACTCGTCCCATTTAATGGGGAGATAAGTCGCAAAATAATCATATCTCAAAGACTTGATTTTTGGCTTATGAGCTCCGTTGAGAGTTAGGGCTAGCCCGGCCACGGCGGTTAGGGAAAAGAACACCAGGGCATTTGCAACGAAGCATTCGACAAACGAATAATGTATGATCAGGGTTAGACACTTCAATAGCGCATTTCTCTCGCTCAACTCATTGCACGCGGAGATGGCCAGATTCGCAGACTTTCATCGGGTGTATTAGGCATCTTGAGCTGCAGAAATGTAGGCGGGAAGCGAATAACTTGATCAAGCCAGGCGGCCATCACTGCTTGTGCGTGGTAGTTGGCTCAGCCCGTTAGAAGCGTGCTCGCCCTTTTTGCTTTCAAAGGGACAAGGGCCTTCGAGCTTATCAACCGTATGCTCATAACCGATGGTTGAGTCGAGCAGTCAAGCCACGTGAATCGGAAGCGCTCGCCATTGGCATGGACTCTGACAAAGGCTTTAGCAATAGCTAGGTCTGGGGTAATCATGTCTCTCTCGATTCTCTGTCCAGGGACGCAGCACGGTTTGAATGGACTACTGCTGACCGGCCATTGGTACTGCCGTAGAAGAGCTGCATACTATGGCGCAACAGGGGAAGACCAAGTTGAAGAAATAAGAGTAGAGAAAGCCAGTTACAGACGCACAGAACCCGTAGCCCACCATCCCTTCCTCATAGGAGATTTTGTGGATCTTGCCACAGCAAGCCACCGGTCTAGTCATACCCCCAAGTATGACAGTGGGTGAGAACAGGTGATTTCTCGACACAATCTCGCTCGATCGTTCTTCGCATGGAACTTAAAGCCACCTCAATGGCATTGCTGCTGCCCTTCCTGGCCCAGTTGGTAGGACAATGGCCCGCCCACTCTTATGGCCTATGGGGCTTTCAGCTAGTTTCTGTGTGCTGATTCCAGGGGCCCAATGGCAGCGCAATTGGTGACATCGCGGTGGCGGATGGTATCAACCATGCAGCACATTTGCTTAGTCCGTAGTACTGTCGTCGTCGTCATCGGTGGCACCGAATGTTAGCTGACCATACCCAGGCTATTCAGTTTGGTCTATACCCCCTTAACCCAACAGCGACAAGATTCCACTGGATAATATGTGCAACCAGCCGCGACCATTTGTCCACAGCCACGCCGGAGGCCGATGGTCTGTTTGTGTGACAGTGGTGATGTTAGGCGAGCCTGTAGCTCCGAAACCGCCTGGCCCAAGCAATCTTGAGATTCGTTGGGCCATCAAGTATTTATGTTAGGTCGTGCCCGACATAGAATCCTCTCTCTCTTGTCTTCTATTAACCTGAAAGCTCGTGCTCTGCAAATCCCAGGTGGTAACCGCAAAGGCTCAAGGCTGGCTATACCTACTTTGCTGTCCAAACTGTCCCTCAGAGCCCCGTACACAATTCCAGTTCGGTCGTCTAGGGTCGGCTGCTAATGATGATACCCGTCTTGGGCCTGGACTGCAGCCGAAGCCGCCGGTCGTGGGCAAGTGATTCGCGTCTGCTATTCGTTTCTTGTTCCCTTTCTGCTAAGAATGGCGATGAAGACACCTGCGGCCATGTGCGGGGGTCACGAGGCATAAGTATACGAGGCTGGGTTGAAGAGTGTCTTCCTGCAGGCTTGGATGGCTTTCCTGGCTTCCTCCGCGGCTAGGATAGAGACTTGGTCGACATCGTGATGCTTGATGCAACCGAGCTTGTGTTGTGGTTGAGCGAGACTGTATGTTGGACAACTTGGAAATGCAAGTTTTCCCTGAGTGCCCTCTTTCGGAATGCCCAATCCAAGGCTGTACAGCAATTTCCCGCTGCCTGGTGTAGGCTCTGGCATGGTCAAAGTCCCACTCGCTTGATAGGGCATAGCGGAGGGCTTTATTGTTCCCGGTACCGCGAGTCGCTCGAGGGAGTGTCAAGCTGGTTTTATGGGTGGCTCCCATCGCGAGCGTCGGTTACCGGCGTGAAGCTCTTCTGTACCGGTTATATAGTGTTATCAGGCTATTATCAACAGGATCACATGTGCTTCTGTAAAATCCAAAGCCTAATTAGAAGTCTTGTAGTGATTATTAGTAAAGGCGCTGTTCTACCATAGTAAAGGGTAATGGGGAAAAGGGCTGGACAAACCATCGCGAATTCCATCGCCTTTCTCCTCTAGCTCCTGTAGTAATGTTTGGGCCTGTTCCCAGAGGGTAGCGGGTACCCTATCCTCTTCCCTCCATTTTCGTAGTACTGTATCAAGGTCTAGGATTGCATCTCAATTTGACGCCAGCTACCATCAGGAAACTGTCAGTCCCCAGAATGAATACAGCCGTCGATTGGTTTGTAGGCGGCTGGTGTACTTGGCCAGGCTACCCAGGTAGGCACCAGAATTCACAGCGGCTCTCTTCTTGAATAGGTTGTGCGGCCCACAGTCTACTTTGAAGACCGCATCAACCTATTCACCATACCCCAGAGTATCCAACGCCCAGGCTGTGACTCGGATTGGGGGTTTCCCACCGCCCACGACTACTATCAATTGCCTGCATCCACTATCGCGTATTATAGGTGCAGAGCGTATGGAGCCGATGATTACGGCTGCCTAGAAGAGAATGGCAAAGGAAATAAAGCTTTAGTCTCACCAAGTCTATCTGGAAACGCCTGGTCGCTATTATGGCGGCAGTGCGTTTCATCGACATAAGGCACAGACCGAAGCCACTCTTGTCTTTTCTGCTCCACGTGTGTCGAAGCCGCAGGGATCGAGCATCTCTGCCAGAGGTTGGTTGTCCGATCCAAGAACTGCTCCACGGTGTTTTCAGTCGCTCTGCTAAACATTTGCGCGCCGGCACCGAGAAAGTTGAAGTTGAATCCCCGCATGGCGTGCCTGCTTGAGAATGTCTTTCGTAGACCAAGAACTTTAGGACAAGGCGACCCATGGGCGGGGGAAAGTTCTGCGCGTATAAAGTGAGGGTAATCGTGCCTAGAGGGTCCACTTCGGTCTTGGTAATTGAAGTATGCTTGATGTCCTTCAGGTCCGGAGATAATTCAAGCGCTTCGATTTGAACCTGACATTCTCTCGGAGGCGAAGAGGGGTATTGGGAGGTTCGCATGGCTCACTTCCTTCTCCCAAGAATCGACAAGGACAATGGTATTGACTTCACATATCCTGGAAAACGCAAAACAGGGTATTCCTTCCAATGGAGCGCTAGAGAGACCATAACAGGTGCTGTACGCCGTGACCTCCAAACTATCGTAATTGTCTGAAGAGGTGGATCTAATTGGAGTCTTACTCGCTTCATGCATCGTTGGTGTCGGCGAGGTCGCTTTGGTGTTGCGTTGAGGCTGGGACGGACCCGACGAGTGTGTTTGAATGACTCGAGGAGAGCCTCGCAGGCCCCTACATTACTTGCAAGGTGTATGATCTTCACCTTTCCTCGTGCGGCAGGGGGATGTTCCATCCCTATCTCAGGGTGGAGTTCCTCACGTTGTATAGCGACTTGTGGAAAGATTCCAGCCCAGAATCACGCGCGATTCGACACATGTGAGATACTGGCTGGAGACGAGTTACAAAAGAACCGCAAGGCCGTCAAGCCATAGGCAGGCCCTTGTTGTATTCGTAACCTGCAGCCAGTCTACCAGCGCTAGCCGCATCGCATTTGAACTCCACCTCTCATGGAACAAAAGCTGATGTACTGCGTGCGATATGTCAAGATGACAAGAACGGGCTTCTCTGGTAGTA